TTTTCACGTCCCCCCAGTAAAATAATTTATTAAAACATTGCTAACATAATCTCTATTTATAGTATTTTCCATTGATTTATCTAAATTATATATTATATTATATATTTATAAATAAATCGGGCTATCTGTCTCATTTCCTTAAGATTCTAGCGTCTAAGTTCTTCTATTTCTTATTTTTATTTGTCAGGATATAAATATTATAAATAAAAGCTTCGACTGAGATATTCCAAAACATAAAGAGAGAATTAAAGGAAGTCTAAATGAAAAAGAACTTAGCTCAAGGAAAAAATGTCTCGAAAAAAAGTACTCTTTTCTGACGAAGAGTACTTTTTGACATTTTTTCCCTATTGGTAGCCTCAAACTGATATAGAGGAAAATTTAAAGGAGAATGGCCCAGGATAAAGCTGTAAGAGATCGTGGCCTTTAGCTACAGATACAAGTGTGGATAACCGTTAAAAGGCAGCGTGATCAGATTAATCAATTACAACTTAACTTATAAGTAACACGCCAAGATGATGATTATGTCGGTTGTAAACATTTTTTAAAGGTAAACTTGGCAAGAAAGGACTGCACGCGGATTGTCATGAATTCACCAGTTGGGCTGGAGCCGCCGCGGCGCGTGTTACGCCACTGGTGCAAACGTAAACGCTATATAAAAGCCAGTGGAACCTGGAGCTGGCCAGTGTTCCAAGGCGGCGTTGCGAAGGAGTGTGTGTGTCTGAGGCGCAGCTAATTTTCCAACCCACGTTTAGAAGCCTTACAGTTATGGAGGGTGTTACGTGTGTAGTTCTTGTTGTGTTTTTGGTACTGACAACTGTGATAGCAGCGCCGCAAAGCCTGGATCCGGACAAGATATACACACCGGATGATATAGAAGAACTTAACAGAGCTATAGCTCACGAGAAGTGCCTTAGGACACCTGGCTGTAAACCCAACATCCTTCAGCAAGATGATAACGCCAGGTGCAAGCTGGGCGCCGGGGTGGACACCATGCTCAAGGACATGCGCGTCACCGTGCACTGCAACCCATTGGCTAGCGAGGTTGTGTGGCCTAGCACGGGGCAGTGTGTCCGCCTCCTCACCCAGGGGCCCTGTCCCCGGGGTCAATGGGTCAAACTTACCACTTCAGAATGTAAGTTTTCACTCAGACTTAACACACATTTTACCTCATGTAAAGTCGGGGTACCATAAACAATTAGAGAACACAGTGTAAACATCCAACCAGTCGTCAAAAAAATAGTATCTATTATTACTATGGATGGAAGTACAACATATGGACTATTGCGCCCAAAATAGACCATGTTTTATACTTATAACTTCGTAGAAGGCCTGAGAAAGAAGGTACCAGCCAAGTCTACTCATCTAAACTTAGTATAGAATATATATATGATTTAATTAGCCCTAAGATGGAGCGTATTAGGCCTAGAACTGCTTATTTATACCTGGGGCAGGTTGCGTTGTGTGTTTATACATTATATATATATATATATATATATATATATATATATATATATATATATATATATATATATATATATATATATATATATATATATATATATATATATATATATATGTTTCCGTTTCTCTTTTGGTATGCCCTTTGTAGTATTACAACAGTACAAAATAAATTTTGGATGGAACAGTCTATATAAACTATCATTTTTTGAGGATGGATTGAAATACAAGGCCCGTGACTCTTCAGTCGCCTGCCAACAAATATAAGTAGTATTGCTGGAACAACAGTGAAAGATTTCAACAGAGAACTGGACAAGTTTCTGTTGGAGTTACCGAATCAGCCTGACTATGATGGCTATGTGAGTCTTTAGGCTACAAAAGACAGCCTCACAGATCAGGCAATCACCATGGAAGGCGGTGTAACGTATAAAAAAATAAAGAAAGAAAAGTAAGAAAATGCAGGGGTGAGGTGGAAGGGTGAAGAGTGAGGAGGAATTAGCAGGTAAAAATGAAAGTTTAAGGATAGAAAATGGGATGGGGGGGAGTAGACTTAGAAAGAAAGGGACAGGAAGATGAGTGCAAAGTGTTAGTAAGAAGGGCTAGCATGAGTTAGTAGATAAGGTGTAGATGGAAGGGAGAAGTTTGTGGATAGAAAGAGGTAGAAGGAAGATTAGAGGTGCTGCCACCATCAATTTAAGAGTATTCAAAAGACAAGGAATGGAACTTGTCTGTTCAGCAGTATTAAGTGATGTAAAAAGCATCACCAATAAAGTAGGAAGATAGCTTCTGGCTACCACACCGGCTTGTTTGATGGAAGGAACAAAGCAAAACCTCTGCAATTATCAACTTAGCGGAAAGCGAGGTCACTTGACCCGACCTGACCTCGCCAGACCTGTGAATACTCAAAAGCTGTGACTTTGTAATCTCCAGGAGCTAAAGACTGTCGCCACCCAATATTCTGTGTGAACTGACTGCTTGATCTGGTATGTGAAATATTAAATACTGTACAACCCTTTATGGTGTTCCAGCGGAAATGGGACACCACAGTATATGGGGTGGAAAAACCTGCCACACAAATCTGATACAAATTTAGGGGTGATAAAAACAGAATTTTGCAACTGTCAGAAAGCCTGTAAAACAATACCCTACGTGGGACTCCTGTTCAACATTGAGAACCTGGCAGGAATGACGTTATTCAACAATGATAACGTTGAATTAACGTTACTCTTGGATATGGTGCCCACTGGGTAAGCAGTAATGTCACAGTGAGAGGAGAGATTTCAGAGAAGCTACATGTTGCCAGTTAAGTCCTGCCAGAATTAATACTAGGACTTAGGCTTAACGTGTTCTTAATGTATGCAAATGGTCTAGACATTCACCTTCCTTTAAATTTTCGCATGTAGCATAACAAACACGAGGCTTAGCATGGTGGAGAACCGCAAGAAACTACCTATTTGTGAATAGGAGCTAATGAACCCCCCCTACAAAACAAGTCTTATCACTTATATATATGCAGCAAAAATCGTGTTTCATAATAATAAGCTATAAGAATTCATCCCCTATATCACTAATTATCATAATAAAATACACGAAGAACTGTTAAACAACATTGCTGCACTTGTATTGAGAAAATAAAACACCCCCCCTGTGGAAGAGCTGTACCTCACAGCCATGAGAGGAGAGGGGAAAACCGGAAATAACTGGGATGGGTTGGCAACAATAATAATAAAAAAACCCGTTCCTCTCCCCCCACCACTCCCGACATCAGACCCTAGTCACCCTACCACGCACTAGCCTCCCTCACAACCCGTTTTGCCTTCTCTAATCCAAAGCCAGACGTCGAGGCAATCCCACCACCAACTGGATGGGTGACCGCACTGACAGCCTCGTCCAGGCTACGGAGTACATTAGCCCGTCAATGATAAATAAGACTGTTTCTACAAGGGGCCGCTTCCCTTGTCCATTTTTATCAGCGACATCCCATTTCCGGTTACCCAACTGTTACCAGCTTTACTTCTGCTATCGCTACTGCCGTCACTGGGAGGGGAGGGGGGGGGGTACCTTCATGTAGGGTTACCAGAATGTAAATTATCGTAGACTGTCGGGGGAAAAGGAGTCAGCGGGAAAGGGAGTCTGTCGATGGTGGGGGGGGGGCAGAGTCAACGGGAGCTGGGGTTGGAGAAGAGTCAGCGGGAAAGTAGGGGTGAGGCGGAGGGGAAGATTCGGTGGGAAGGGGGGGAAGACTTCTCCATTCAGTGGGAATGGAAGAGAAAAGTCAGCAGGAAGGGAGGATAATACACTAAACAGAATTAACTGGTACTGAAATAGCCAGAGCTCAAAAACGTTTAGACTGGTGTACCCTCTTAGTCACAAATGTTACCATTAGTGTACGGAAAGCCAACATTGCTCCCTTTCCCTCGTGCCAGGCTCAAGCATGAAACTTTCACGTTGCCGAGGGCCACTACCGACCCTAACCTCCATCATCCCAGGCTGACGGTGACCGAAATCACTGAAATAACTCTCTCCATCATCCTCTGCCACTACATCTGACGAAAACAAGTAAAACACGCTTTCGGTTTCCCTACATTTTCAGTGAACTATTTCATAGAAAATATCTGTAACAAAGTTTGACTGTTCTTAATACCTTATCGAGTAATTACAATAATTACACGTCCGCAATTCACAAACCAATAAACATATGTGCACAACCCACTAAAGACTAAAATTTGTATGACAATGTGTGTTACGAGTTCATTTCATGGTGTCAAACTTTTTCCAGTCAAGCCTGTATGTGAACCGGTGCCTTGTGGGGTGGGCCAAGCAGCCACGAAAAATGGGGCGTGCCTGAGCACCAGGACCGCCCAAGTTTGCCCACCCACCCAGCAGCTCATCACTAATGAATTTGGTCAGGGCGAGTGTGACTGTGCCCCGGGCCTTGTTTACTATGCCCCAACCAAAGCCTGCTACGCTCCCTACACCAAGGGTCCCTGTCCCAACGGCCAAGTTCTCAAGGTAATTACATCTGTTTTAGAAGACAATTATAATTTTGATGCTGGTAATCAGGAAATTTGCTATTAACTTCATTTTAGATTAAGAAGTTTTTTATGAAGCGATTTTATACAAATCATTGTAGATGTGGCTGGCGCGAAAAGTCCAGTAAAGTGAAAAAAACTTGTAGCTTAAAATTAGAGCAGCAAGAATTTTATTGGCAAAATTTATAGGGTAAAACTTTAATGATAAAACAGCTAGAAAGATGACTAATTATACTTAACTAATTTGCTTATTGCATACTAATATCATTCAATAAAAAATTAGTGCTAATATGTGGTTCTGTGTGGGTACAGGTGATGGATGAGGGTGTGAGCGGAAGAGTACAGTGTGTGGCCAATCCTTGTCCTAAATCCAGCATGGCCATGGTGGACAGCAAGTGCAACCTGAGGTCCCAAACGGGCCCGGACACTACCTGCCACATGCTCAACACTCCGGGGCCCTGTACCTCCGGGCTCTTCGCCGTAGACAACATTATCTCCGAGCCCATTTGCGTTGAAACACACAGCATCTTCAACCTACCCAATCTGGTGGGCTGTCCGCGAGGCTCCATCAGGGACATGCGTGGTCGCTGTCGGCGCAACTTGGCTGTGCCGTTCCGGGGTACGCCGGCCTTCGTCACTAGTAATCCAGTATCTAGGCCCGGTGGCAGTGTCTGTCCCCCCGGCCAGGCTTTCTTAGGTGGTATCTGCTTCATGCGAGCTTCTAGTCGCCCCTAGCACTCATCATCTCGATCTTTATATTTTCTGTACAACACAGAGTTGTTGTTTTAGATTCAGCTACTCAGAACAAAAGTTCCAAGTATCATGGGCTATGGTGAGCCCGTAGTGGACTTACCTGCCGCAGGAGCGGGGCTGTAACTGTAACAGTCTTCGACTGACCCTAATACAGTCTTACTGCACCTTGCATCATCACTCTCATGTCCTTAACCTAATGCATTAGGGTGGTATTTTATAAACTGCTGCACAAAACGCCATTGAAAAAATCCTATTATCACGATATTAAAAAAAAAATTATTCGACGATATTAATCTGGTAAAAGTAGGTGTTCACGGTACGTAAGTGTGAGAACGAGAAAACTAACAACCCTACAACCTTTAAAGAACATGTACCAAAGCCAAAAGTTGGCCACTGCCATCGCCCTAATCGTGATCTCTAAAATCACCCCCGCACTCTAGATGCTATACCTAGTTCACACTCCAACCAATCATTGAGATACATTTTCTTTTACAAACAAAGTAGTCCTAAGACTGAAAATCTTACTAGGGTACTCTATGTGGTCGCATAACGTAAGCGTGCACAGCTTTCTCGTTTTGCAAAGCAATGAGCACAAAATAAGTTTTAAAATATTTATGTGCAGCGATAATGACGCATGTTAACAGCTCACTCGGAGAGAGAGAGAGAGATGCAAGAGGACTACCTTCTTAGGGATGATAACATCTTACATCACATAATCAAAATGTTACAACTTCATTAATATTTAAAGCAAAATATTACTTAATTTTCAAAATTTAAGGGTTACTTGGCTATTTGGTTAATCAGCCTAAGCCAGAATTCAACCCGTCATCAGACCAAGTCCATTCTATCCTGCGGCCAACCCCAAAGACGTAAATGACAAAATACAATATTGGGAAGGGGGGGGGGGATAGAAGAAGACAATAGGAGTGTACGTGGGTGCCCCACAAGGCTCCCCCGATGCTACATATCGTTGTCTTCGACGCCGAGGGTCCTTACAAACGCAACCAGAGGTGGTACCCTCTATATAGATGATAAAAACAACTATTATTATAGATTTATACATAGTCAGGCTTAGATCAGCCCGTCCTCCAAACAAAGATCCAAAAGTGATTCCATGCACCCGCCAAACCCTGTTTATGAATGAAAAGCGGTTTACACACGACTCACTGCTGACGTTCGAACATATCCGGAACAAGTGCTTCACTGAGGAATTTTGTTCGAATCACAACGCTGTAAATGCTTCACCCACGTACTACAAATACAAATAATCGCCAACAGAACCTAAACACCTAACCTAACCTATCCTATGCCCATATATACACAATATGCCAATATATTATAATATTAATTTATACTTGAGAAAATTCCCGTTTTGAATGAACAGCATGTTAAAATTTATGAATGCGTCTGTGGGGTCGACCGCTGAATGTAATGGACTTGAGTCGAGGACGGGTTGCCTAGATAAGGTTACGTAAGGTGTTTGGGTTAGGTTCATTTAGGGTGTTTACAATAAGGCTAGAAAAGAATGAAGCACCCCTTAAGTTCTTTAAACAAAGTCGGCTGATTTAAAAATGTACAAAATAAGGACCATCACCGATTAGGATAGCCGAATCTATGTTTTGGTGAAGGGCTGGCTAAAAATTTACACAAATTTAAAATCAGCTTTCCTGTTTCAAACATGTGAAGCACTGTTAAGTGTACATATAATGAAAGATCTACTGGAGAAAATAATTTACAAATAAGACTGATCCTGTATGGCAACTGCAGCAATAGTGCATTGGTTAAACAAAAATTATGAAACTATATAAGGCAACAGGAAAAAAAATAAACATACTGTATAGTTAAACTGAAACATACAATGAGAATCGCGGTGCAGCTGTTGACTCTTCAACCAGGAGACGGCGGTAGCCGCATGTAACACAGCAACATGTCCAAGCTTTAAAACGCTTATTACTTCAGGTAGCCTACTCTATTTCCCCGCTTTATTCATACAAGTGTTAAAGTAATTACAATAAACGTCTGTGATAATCGTGTGGTTGAGGATAACAACAAAATATATCTTTTTAGCAGTAGGTGTGTCGAGGCATCATCGGTAGCCTATCCCAGTGTACAGTTTACCAGGATACATTTTGGTTTATTAAATATTCTTAAAAGCATATGTTGGAAAAGTTTCTACCCTCAGTGCATCGAAGACCACATCATAGTAACTAGGTGTTTTTGTAATTGTAATCTTTCTGAGCACTATAACTTTCTCATTATGTGCAATTATTGTGCTACCAATATGTGTGTGTATACCTGGAGCATCAATTTCTGAATATAGAATTGGAGAGGGTATGGGTCTAGGGTTGAGTACATGTTATTGCTATCTATAGCTTCTTCACAGTCTAGAAGTGAATTGGTGAGATCTATAATGCGAGTAGAGGTTGGTGACACGTTTACGAAGACTGAGTTATCAACAGTGATTTTGTAGTTTCACTGTAACCCTGTATTACTGTGTCCTCCGTATATCGCTCATTTATTTGTGATCAGGTAATGTTCTATCTCTCTCAAGCAAGATTTTTATTGCATTTTATAGCATAAAAGTACAACTCTAGTTTTACTTTTGATTTTGCATGGAAGAAATATTTTTGGTTTTAAATTTTGCCAAGTGCTGCTTTTTTGTTTCGTGGATATTGTATTATGCTTTACGTTTTGTCTCAAATTGCTATTTCACTAGTCAGACTACTTTCACTGTCAAGGGACAGAGAGGGAGAGAGAGCAGGGTATTTGAGCTATTTAAAGATTTTGCTTTCTTCGCCTGTTAGGCAGTGCCTAAGATTATTATTATTATATTTAGGGGGGGGGAGAAGATGTGTTGCATGGAAATTGCCATTTTCATGTTGAAACTACTGTAGTATTTATCTTGCCCTCCAAATAATATTAAACTGCTAAAACATATAACTGTGGTGGGGTAATATTTAGTCTTTTCCATGGATCTTGTTTTGGTATATTCTCAAATAATAATAATAACTATGATGAACTTTTAAATATTTAGAATGTTCTTAGCAAATCTTTTATAATAAACGTATCAAAATATAAATATATATTTGTTAAACACTTTCACCTCACTTTAAAATTATATCTAAGTTAATAAAAACAAAAATGCACTTTATTAAAACGTGAAGACTGAATTGGCCAGGAGGGCTAAATAACCCCAAGACCACCACTGCTCCCACCTGTCCAATACAAATAACACTGAATAAGAAAGTGTATATTCAGTGCATAATTTTTGAATAAAAATAAATAATTTAATTTAGAATCTCTTAGTTAAATTTAACAAACTTGCTCACATCAGGTAGGAAGTTCCCGATGTACGTACAGTTATCTTCTCCAGCATAACTTTCTCACTCCCTACCTTACCTTGATCATACCTTGATCGGGTTCTGGGAGATCTTCTACTCCCCAAGCCCGGCTCGGGGCCAGGATTGACTTGTGAGAGCTTGGTGCAATAAGTTGGAGCTTGGAGCGGTCCGCAGGCCCAAGTATCCACTGCAGTTTTTCCGGTACGTCTTGAAGAAAACTATCCAGTTTTCTCTTGAAAATTTTAGTTCCGGCAATATTTCTTATAATCGGTGGGAGGATGTTGAACAACCGTGGACCTCTAATGTTCATGCAGTGTTCTCTGTTTGAGCCTTTGACAACCATGTTCTTCACTGGCTCTGTTCTGCATTTCCTTCCATATCGTTCACCCTATTATGTTGTTATTTTACTGTGAAAAATTGGGAACTAGCCCGCCATATTTTCCATATATATATATATATTATTCGATACATCTCTCATCTTCTTTGTGCATTTGGAGAGCTTTGAGACGATCCCAATAATTTAGGTGCTTTATCTCGTCTATGCGTGCCGTATATGTTCTCTGTATTCCCTCTATTTCAGCAATCTCTCTTGCTCTGAAGGGGAGAGTATCAAGCAGTAATCAAGACGGGATGGCACAAGTGATTTGAATAGTACAACCATTGTGAATGGATTCCCTGAATGATGGGGGCCGCCGGATCACGCTCCTGATTTTACCCGTTTTGATACTGCCTTCTGGCGCACATATTGCCATGGATCACAGGAAAGTTGATAGATTTTGAACGTTATCTGGCTGGTTCTTCAGGGGCGGGAAAACGGTGTCCGGTACCGGCTTGGCTGAGAGGTGCCAAGGGATTTTTTTTTTTTTTTTTTTTTTTTTTTTTATTATTTTCTACCACAGACGTGGCCACACATTTACAATGCTAACCAGCATATATACATTTTCTTCTGTTCTCCGTGGACAGGGTTAGAGAAGTGTTAAACATACAGTTCAAGGGTTTATTGAACACTCAACCACAGAAGGTGATTCGGTGCTTTTAAAATGCTAAGCTAACCTACATACGTAAATACAAAGATGCACAGATTTACGTACGCCCTACATAAAGTATTAGATGTGTCTTTTACATAGTGTCATTAATGTACATTCACAAAGGTGAAATGTAATTCTGATCAGCTTCCATATATGCTTTATACCCATACATATACATACACACACACATACACATACATATATACACACATACATGCATTCACATACATTTGTCTCATTTACCCTGACAGGGTGAGGTAGCTGATAAAGAAACTAGTGTGCAATTAAGCACTTAATCACTGAAGGTGATGAAGGTGCTTTTACAAGCTCAGGTTATATAGTTACATCACATACATACATTGTATGATTGATACATTACATGGTCAATTTTGGATACAAGTCCAATATATCATCAAGTGTTCCAGTACTCATATAGTAACTACAGAGTTCAGCATACCTTAGCCCAGGAGGGCGAAAGTCAGTCAGTATGGGACATTCTGCAATATAATGTTCAAGAGAGTGCATGTTTTCTCTTTCACAAAGTTGACACATTGTGTACTCGACATTTGGGTTTTGAGAAAGCTGCCAGATACGTCTATATCCCAGCCGTATTCTGGCCACTATAACATCACATTGCCGGGTTCTTGTTTTATTAGTCCCATATGTGAATGTCTCCTCACGATATCTATCATAATATTTAATGCTACAACTTTCAGGTCTTTGAGAATTTGTTAGGTCGGTGAGTGCCAAGGGATGGCAGGTCTTGGTGGGCTCCCGGTGTGCGGCTGGCTTCTGCTCTGCCTGGGGGGGGGGGGTGTGAACTGGAAGACTTTTTTTGCGTTTTAGGAGGGGGCCGTGTTTTTGCCTTTACTACCCAGTGTTCTCTGTGTCGGGTGAAAACCGGTGTCTGCCCCCTGAGGGACTCTTTGGATTCCCCATTCATCTTTCCATCAGTGTGTTTATTCGCCGCATTCGTTTCCGCCGGCATGCAACACTCATTTAGCCGTACGGCTTTGCGATTTACCCTTGAAGCGTACGCCGGGGCACATATGGCACCTCTGCCGTCGCGGCTCCTAAATCGAAAACAACTGGAGACCTGATAGTGAACCTATTGATTACTCACATTCCAGTGAACACTAGTAATGTATGAGCATAGAAAATTCTGACCTTGCTTGCAATGTGTCAAAAGGCGTCTTTTTTCCTGTACCCACCTGTGTAATAAGTCTTGCTTGCCGATCAGCCCGTTCTCGTGAGCGTTCCCAACGCCAGGAAACTGTCATACTGAAGTGCCATATCCTAACATTCCAGAGGATTCACGAACAGAAAACGGGACATTCAGTAAACTTCGCGAGCCGCTACTATTTTCTAGTACGACAGATTTTGACTTTAGGTAAAGTAAAGTATGTCAAAATACAACGTGCTATTAGGCCGAGTTGTGTCAATAATAACGGGAAACAAACAGGTGGTGGGTCGGGTGATAATGCTGGCAAGGCGCCAACCATCACTCCTTCAAAAACCTAAGCTACTGTACACCTCACCCTGCAATCAACCTTCCTCCCCACCGACATAATATAATATTATGTACCGCTTGTGTCCCCTGCGTGCATACCAGTCTTCCCTACATGCACACCATGTAAGGTGACGGAAAAGATCACAACACAAGCTGGTAGAACATTTGGAGAGAAGAGCAGTTACACCACAACATCAGCACAGATTTAGACTAGAACAATATAACTGTGAAGGAGACCTCACAAGACAGAAAAGGTTGGGAAGAATGCATGTTTTTTAATTGTCATAAGCCTTCAAAACAACACACCTCATGAGGCTAATGCACAAGTTGAAGAAATTGGAAAAGTATTACAGTGGAAGAGAGAGAGAACCTAAGCAAAAGAAGCTAAAAAGTAGTGATATCCTACAAGGATCAGTGCTATTTTATTCCTGATTTATGTAAATGCTTTTCTAGAACGAAAATACCTCAATGTTTGCTGATGCACAAATTACGAGGGAGGATACATACAATGGAAAACTTCAAGAAACTAAAGATAACCTGAACAAACTGAAGGCGTGCTTTAAAAAGTGGCACTTAAGAGCTTAACTCAGACAAATGCAAAATAATGAACCTGGGTGCTGGCAACAGGAAACCAGACACAAAGTACCAAATAGAGCAGAAAATCAACCTTTGAACCAGAAATGGGGTTGATATCACACTGAATCTCTTTCCTGAGGCCAACATAAAATGGAATCATCAATTTTATGTGCAAGGATGTTGCCAGCAAAAAGAAACAATATTTAGATACCTGAATTCTGATTCAATTAGGACCCTGCACAGCACATAAGTCAGACCAATTTTGGAATAATGCAAGCGGCACGAGTATAGAGTCATTATGTCACACACAAAATATAAGGTGGGTGAGTTCTGAGCCTAGACTAGAGAAATTAAATGAAGTTTCTGTAAGAAACAAGTGCTAGAGTTGATATGATCACAACATGTACAATTTTCAGTGAAAATGACAAAGCAGACAAGGATAGATTATATAATTCATATAATAATAAAGTGTGTCAGGGGACAGGCAGCCGGTTTATACAGTACATACACCCCCCCCCCAGGATGACCCCACAACAAGATGAATGACTTCTGGGTACCGATTTACTGCTAGGTGGACAGGGGTATTTGGGGATAGGACACGTACCCAACCATTTCTGTCCTGCCCGGGATTCGAACCTGGAATTCGCGATTGTGAGTCTAGAATTAACTCGACTGTATTACTGGGACCCAGTTCCTTCATTGGCATATAATTTCTTGGCTTTCACCAAGAACAACTATCCTGCCATTGTTTTCTTAATTTTCCAATGCTACACAAAACTGTCGTCAACACACTTTTAACCTTACTCACTGCCTTCCTGTCATCTAGTGCTTTATCATTGTCACTTAAGAGCATACCAATTAAAGATCTAAGATTTAGCATCCAAAATATCAGAGTTGTCTTGCTCACTTTGTATTCATTATTAGACAATTTTTTGGGATGTCTTCATTTTAATTCTCTTACTTTCTTCACAAAAGTCACTATAGAATTTGTTTATTAATTCTATTAAGAGTAGAATTAATAAAATAGTAGGTGAAGTTTTGATTGGCACAAAACTCGCATTTTGTCCTATAGTGGTACAACAAAATACAGTATATAAATTTGTTTTCTTTAAATCTTAAGAATTCAAGGCTAATGAACAATATAGTGCCCAAACCAACCACAAAAACAATACTGGGTTAAAGTACTTGTGTGTGTCATGTGTGTGGGTGAAGTGCAAGTCATGTAGTATTTCTTGGATCTGGCTGTACCATTTTCACAACTTCAGCTATCCCAATAAATTGCAAAGAAGAAAATATTATTAGTTATAAACACAATGAATAGCTTAGTTTTGTGTGTGCTAAAGTATATTTCATAGCAACCTATAATCACTTTGTGAATTGTTTGGAGGTTATAAGCACTTACCATACCAATGTTTTCTGAGTTTGTTACTCAAACAGTATTATTCTGTGCATTAAATTGACATAGCTGGTTTCATTTATTAGGTAATTGGGGATTGAAATGGATGACAGAGAAATAAACAAATAATTGGTCTGCTCTTTATTGTATGTCCAAACCTTTTTACTTGGTCTATCCTCGATTTATTTCATGCATCTGATTACCGCAAGTTATTTACTGCCGTTAAAATAGGTTGACAAGCACCAGAAGGAAGGACATATGACAACACAGAATTCTGTAGACAATTAATGACAGGTTTAAAGATGTTCAGCTGCAGCGACTTCCACAATTATTTTTGTTTCTATTTTATTTATTTATATAGTATATACAAGAGTTCTTACATTCTTGTACAGCCACTAGCATGCATAGAGTTTCGGCAGGTCCTTATTTTAATATTCCCCGGCATACAACCCGCCAAATCGTTTAACAACCAGGTACCCATTTTACTGTTGAGTAATGAGAATATACAGTTCAGGATTTGCACCCAGTAAATCCCCTCTGGCCAGGATACGAACCCATGCCAAAGTGCTCACGAAATGCCAGGCGAGCGTCTTACAACTATGCCACAGGGACTGCTTAATATAGATGATAGCACAACACTGATTTCTGTGTTACCATGCCTAGGATACAGTGATATAATTCCTGTCTGAACCACCTTCTGGATCACTATAATCACAACCTTAATATAAGGCTGCTGCAAGCAACAGCCTAGTGGACCAAGCTCTCAATAGTCAAGCCTGGCCTCGGGCCGGGCTTGGGAAGTAAAAGAGCTCCCAGAACCCCCATCAAGCAGGTATTAAACCAACGCTGGATCGGCTGTTAACAAAGTACACAGGCACAACAAAGACATCTTAGGGGAACAATCTTAACAAGTATAGTGGACAAAGGGCCAGAAGAGATAAGATAACCACTGTACGTACAAAATACTGAATGGAATAAACAAGTTGGATATACAGTACTCAGCTTCTGCGAATTAAAAAAAAAAAAGGTACAGAAGAGTAAAGGGGAAACAAATTAATCAGAAATTTAAGAAATACATGTACACTATGCAGGTGTTCAAAAAGTGGAATGTACTGAAGCAAATGGAAGCACCCTTCATCCATGGGTTCAAGAGAAAATACAAAAAAAAAAAAAAATAGAATGTCAAAAATGTAACTAAAAAAAAAAAAAAGTACAATAGGCAAGATGTAAGGTCCACCAGACTAATCTCAAGGAAGCTGGTTATTTTGCACCCAAAATGGCTTATCAATGTATTTTAATTAAAACCTACCAAACCCAACCCAACTTCGCCCAATGATATATATACTACTGTATTTTAACAATTAGAAATTGAATCTGGTCGAAATGCGTGTGTACGATTTGACCGTACCTTGATCACTTGCCTTGGACACTGAGACAGGTAAGCAGCGAGCGATCCTGCGTCATAATACTAACAAGTAACCAGTATCACGACTCCAGCCATCATTAACTCGAAATTCAATACCAATAACTATTATACCATACTTTAGTATAAATTGTAGCGCCTCCTTTATCGTATGCCTTGATGCAACACTCAACTACTACGTCGTAAACTTGGAAATCCTCACATACCTTACAGGCAGCCTCATCCGAGAATGAAAAAAGTTTCCATTTCTCACGCACTCCTTGCAATAAAATGCTTTCGTTTTCTGGTTGCACAAAGGACATCTCTCCACTCTAAGATTACTGTTACTTGTGTAACCATTACTATTAGAATTCACTTTAAATAAAGACGGAGCATGATCGCCAGAGGAGGAAGAGGACGCCATCCTGACCACAGCATCCACAACACTGTCCCACCATCAGCTGTTTCATGTAAACAACGAACGAACAAAAGGTCACTCACCAAACCGCCAAACTTAATTATTTATATTTGACAGTAACAATAACAAGTAATAACAATAAAACTAACAAACAAATAATAATAATAACACATATAAGAACAACAAGAAATAACAACAAACAGTAATAACACCAACAAGTAATACAAAATAACAATAACAACATCCAGACACTCCAACAGGAGAATACTTTAAAGAGAATATTTAAATAAACCTCACTTTTGTCACTCACTTTATGACTAAAATGTAAGTTTGACTTACTTTGTTATACACCTAATTAATCCATAGAGTACTGTAATGATTTGTTCGAAAATGAAGAGGGGGTAGACTCCCTCCTGGGTGGACAGCGCTTCGGATTCGTTGTCCTGAGGTTCCAGGTTCGATCCCCGGTGGAGGCGGAGAAAAATGGACAAAAAAGTTTTTTTCACCAAGATCCCCCCTGTTACCTAGCAGTAAATAAGTCCCTGGAAATTAATATAGCTGCTACGGGCTGCTTCCTGAGTGTGTATAAAAAAGGAGGCCTGGTCGAGGACCGGGCCGCGGGGACGCTAAGCCCCGAAATCATCTCAAGATAACCTCCTTGCCGTGTTGATGGTGGGGGAAGAGAGTATATTCCTGTCCTCTCCACCCTCTACTTTACTTTCGCCTCTGCTTATAACTTTACCCATTTCTTGCTTATTTGCACACTCCCCTACTTCCTCACTCATCTTGCTACCTAGTAGTTTATGTTCCAAGCACAGCTGCTTGTGAGCTGGGGGCCTTAGGTTTAAGCTATATTCCCTTCCAATACATGCCCTTGGAACTTGTTCATATCATTTACAGAGGCAACTCGATCTTTAAAGTGCGTACTTAAGTGTGAACTCTGTCATTATGTTCATTTTTGCTGATACTTTATACTTTAGAGTGCACTCGTGTTTTATCTACTGGTTACTTTTAGTTTACTATGAGTCATATTTTACTTATGTCATTTCTGCTATTACTTTAGTTCATAAAATTGTCCATTCACCATCTTAGTTTACTTTTAATGAAGTAAATGTGTTTACTTTTTCCCATTATGTTTCATAAGGATTTTTTGACCCTCAGAAATCCAACGCATCAGCAGATTTTCACTATAATTTATTGTTTTGATCTGCTTAAATTTTGACCTCCATACATATATTATTTGTTTAATGGGTAATAGCATTTAAATATTTGGTTGGCACTGAGACATTTGTCTTGGGAATCCAGTGATTTTACATTTTTTATTTGTGTTTACATGAAATTTGTGATGCCGGATCTTTCAATTGTTTTACATCAAAATAGACTAATGAATATTAAGACTACCATCTTTATCGTATTTAACACCAAAATATCACACCCATTTTTCCATAGCTCTTATATACTCTTCAGCTGTATTAAGTCACTTGACTTACACCCTCAATTTTTTTTTTTAACTTGACTCACAAAACATTATTCTACAGTTTAGGAGAAAAAAAGCTAAAAAGCATAAATTTGGTAGAAAATATATTTCCTACAGGTACATCATACATATATAGTTTACATACAAGATCTATGTAATGGTGCCATTTCATTTGTCAAATGCAGTTCTACCTGTATTTACAATCATCAATATGGCAAACCATATAGAAGCAAGGAAAGTACTACAGTACTATACTGCCAAATAGAAAATAAAATAATTTATAGCAAAAATAACAGCAACTAGAAAGAAGGTTCAAGATATACGTCAAAATCAGATGCAAGAATTACAATTCAATAACATTTGTTGAATTTCCTGTAAAGTGTTTATCTATACATGAGCATGTCATATATGATTGTGTGTGTGTTTAGCACACTTGCACGCAGCATATAAAGTATCCAAACGTTCAATAGAATGCAGGTTCATTATTTAAGAGTGGCTTTTACAACATTTTATCTCCCACAAGGTTTACTGTAGTCTCATTTAATATTTAGTACATTTCAGTTCATGCCACTCGCTGTCAAGAAACAACAACATTAACAGGAAAAATATATCCTAACATGACATAAAAGTTAATTTTGTTATTGGTTCTTCAAGATTTACACTTATTAAACATTTCTTATGGGATTAGCACAAAAACCAACATAATATTAAGACACTTAAGGATGACATGTATAAGATATTGGCACATCTAAAACTGTACTAAATGGTAACTGTACATTTTTGGTTAAAAATACTTGCACATCGTTACTTTTGAGTTTACGGTGATGTACTTATACCATTTGAAATTGAAAATACTCTTGTACCCATTCAATAAAATATTTTTATTTACTGTAGCTATTTATTAATACAGTATTCACTTCCAATGTACAAAACTAAGCCATCCAAATATTAAAACTTTATATTTTAATTTTGCTACAAGACAAAATGGCCATTTAGTGTTACTGTATATGGAATGAAATGAAGTGCTGGTGTCCTGTCTGCGTGGCTGACAAGCTCTCATATATCCCATTCATGTACCATGTAGTCATACTATACTGGGTTAGCACTTTTCTTATGATAATTACATCCCAGTCATTGAGAAGGTAACACACACTGATACTTTGCGAGATGCTCCTGAGATTCTTATTTTATGGACACAACAGTAGGCGAAAGACGAGAGCTCATGGAACGAAAACTCATGGAACATGTCACTGTTAACTGTCAGCAAATGGTGAGAAGGCTTTGGCTTTATTAAAAATAAGTGAGGTTGAGAGGGGGACTTCAATGCTAGTCTCAACTGTGAAAGACCACAATTCAATTAACATAAGGAAAGTGGAACACGAGGGAAAAGGATTTACAAGAGGGACCTTAGAGATGTGTAAGTTTATGAATATTTGGGATGGACTTTCACGACTCAATTAGAGTAATTTGCCGACACACAGTTATCAGTGTTGTTAATTTGACCATTAATTATATCTGACATTCTCAAATAGTTCCATGTTGATCAAAGATTGTCATCTGTGTAGTGAAGTTTCACCGTGAGCCAACAGTACCAAACTGCCACTGTATAGGCAAGTGGAACTTAGCATAGTTTCAACAAGTGTTTGTTTATTTGTCCTATCACAGTCAGTGAGACCAAGTTCTATACGAGATAATTTTATCATCATAAGTCAGTTATTTTAAGGTGGCTAGGCTATGCTGTGATATAGAGTAACAGCCATTTTTCTAGAGTCCAGCAATATTCTTGGAGTGAGGCCTGCTTGTCATAATATTCACAAATTTATCTCATATAGGTCAAAGTGCTCTAGATATTAATATGTTTTTCACAGAAGATTTAATTTTATTTCTTAGTAGCAATCAATGTACTTTATTGAGCCTGATTTTCATCATACAGTACAATCATATCATTCTTTAAATGGAATGGATCTTGGCTGGAGTGGGTTCTGGGAGTATTTCCACTCCCCAAGCCCTGCCTGGGGCCAGGCTTAACTTGTGAGAGCTTGGTTCAATAGGAAGTTGCTTGGGAAAGCTAGCAGGCCCACATACCCATTACAGCCTGGTTGGTCTGGCACCTCTTGCAGAAAACTGTCTAGTTTTTTCTTGAAGACTTCCACTTTTGTTTTAGCAACATTTCTTATACTTGCTGGGAGGATACTGAACAACTGTGGACCTCTGATGTGCATACAGTATTCTCTGATTGTACCTATGGCAAGTCTACTCTTCATTGGCTCTAGTTTGCATTTTCTACTATATCATTTGCTCCAGTATGTCATTTTACTTTGGAAATTTGGGATCTGGTCATTCAGTATTTCCCATATATACTATATATATTATGTGATACCTCTCACATCTCCTTTCCAAAGAGTAAATTTTGAGAGCTCTGAGATGGTCCCAGTAATTTAGGCACTTTATCGTGTCTGTGTGCTGAACGTTTTGAGTCAAGAACTTTCCACGATAACATGACCATTAATTTTCTGGGGAGAAGGTGAATCCTAGTGTATGCAGTTTTCAAAACAGTAATTCTTGTGTGTATATTATTATTATTATTTTTATGCCTTGTAAGAGATGATTTTTCAGTCATTGCATAATAATGTTTATCCCTGATAGCAAATTCACAAAAAGTGCTGGAGTATAATTAACCCTTTCTGAGTTAATTTTTCCTACTGACTGGACTACAGAAACATGTTATTAAGTTGGGGATCATTGGAAAGTAGTGCCCTACATGCGTTGGTAAATATTTCAAAGCCTGCAGCATATGAGTACATACCCCAGGGCCAGGTCTTTATTGCTACCTCCAGTCATCTAGTCATTTAAATATTTCTCGAAGTCTAGTAATATATGTTAAAACAGAGTTTATCTAAAAAATCTCATCCATGGTTTTAGTACTGGGAGCTGATAATTCAGCAATACATGCCACATAAAATGTGGGAATATTTAACTCTCAAAGTCCGATTATCATCATGTGTTGATCATCCAGTACAATGTGGTCATCATCAAACGAAGATGATGATTCTTCATTTGAGTCAGTTTGAATACCAATGTTGCCCATATTATGCCAATAGCTGAATGGTGTCTCACAGCAGTCATATGAGACCACAAAATAGTTTTGAGTAAGACGGATTTCAGCTCATGGTCACACATTAATACATGGCAACGACTACACATACCCTGTACTTGGTCAATCTAACGATCTTCACTTTATATATTAATATGGTATTCAATTTGCTTCTGCATACAGATTCCTTCTTTCTTTTGAATATACTATATTAAAAAAAAAAAAAAAATTGTTTGGTCCTGGCTCCCATCACAATGTCTTGCTAACGAACGCCAAGAGGACTGCTGGCACTGCCCAGGCCAAGATAACGGGGGTGGGCACCTACTTGTCTTCTTGAACTTCGGTTCAGTAAATTGAGTACAACATCTATATACAATTCAGAACTAGTTTGTTAGGCAACTGACTCTCCTTATAATTCAGCGTTGCATATTCCGGTAATGCTAAGACAGGTTTACCTTCATGAATCCATAGCAATGATATATATAATGTTGATACATGCTAGCTGAACTAATACATCCAAAATGAGCAAACTAATAACAATTTGAGCATTACATTCTTACTTAAGACAGTAACAGAAGTAATTTAACACTTTGCAGTAAGAATGGGAACCATGTACACTGAGATCTGTGTCATTTTCAGGCGTCAAAATAATTATTTTAATTAGACCTAATGATAGAACTTACATGTGTATATACTGATACGATCTCTAAAATTACTAACATGTACAGTCAAAGAAAGTTACTGCCAATCATTCTGTGTGTTTGCGTGAAACTGCCTAACAATCCTAAATTGATTAAAAACAAAAATTAGGCCTAAACAAATTTATGATTAATAACCGACCTTCCATTTGTTACTGCAAATAAGAACACAAAACGTAATTAGAATGATGACACTAAGTCAGTAATGAATAAGAAGCATGTCTCATGTGAGCTTCGAAATATTAGAGATCTTAATCGGCATCACTGATATGATTACCACAGACTTAATTGAACATAGCCTAAATTACAGGAAAACAGGTATAACTAAAAATTTGTCTGGAAAACTGAAATACAACATCATATTAATAGGCCAAGCACACACACACTAGGTGAAAATTTCTTTATGTACAAATGTAAAACTAAGAGCTTACTCATAATATTACACAGCTATGAGTTAGCTCAAATATCTTATATTAATACATTACACCAATTACTCTGGGCAGTCATTCCACTTTATACTAAGAGCTGTAATGGTATGAAAGAGATTTTAAATTTGCATCCACAAGCCAGAATTATGTTTAAACATGGTGACCTAATACTAAAGCTTTGTTTTCACATCTGGCAGCTTGGGCATTTTAAGCTGGATTTTCAAATCTCATTCTTGAAAATCAGAGAGGAGATGCACGAGAACTTTTAAATGTGAATCAAACTTATCTTGATAACCTACCCTGATAATTGAAGGTACTGTGCATGCAAATTACACATCCAAGAAGTGTATATACACTCCTAATGTATATTGGTATATATACACTATGTGAGCGTATTCAAGTAACATCAACATGCAGATTATTTAATATACTTCTTACTATAAGATATGAATAAAAAATGGACATACTGAAGAATAGGAATGGAATGTAATAATCACAGGAGGACTGACAATGCAACATTGCTGACAAACAGGTTGTGAATTACAGAGGCTAAACATTAAGGAGAGTAAGGTATTGCAAAATACATTAACTGAAGCATGCTCAAATCATCACAAAGATCTAAACAAAAGTGTACAACAAAGATCATGCCAGTTAAGCAAATCACACATAATTTCCTGTAATTTAAGCTCATTATATTGGAACCCATTCTGAGCTGTGGGGAAAAAATATTACCCTTTCAAAACTTTTAACTGAAAAATTGCTACTTATCAAGATTTTGTAATATCTTATAAGAATGTAAAATTTGATATGTGCAAGAATAATTCTGCTCTATTTTAGAAGTGTGTATCAGAACTTATGGTGAGTAAGTCAACAGCTTGCATGTACTTACATCTGAATGATATTAATTTTATTTTAATAAATGTAGTTATCTTTTGTTTTCTCTTAAAATGTTACATTATTATGGTTCCATGCTTTGTCTCTTTACAACCTTCAAAGTTTTCTTAAGAAGTAAAACTTCAAAAAATTTGTTAATGGTTTATAAATATACTCTGGAAATTTTGAAGAACACTACTATTTATATTTCTAATGAATGTCAAACTTAAAAATACATTCAGAAGATAAAGATTACAGTACAGTTGTTATGTTCCATTTATGACACTGATAAGTGCTGAAATACTGTATACTGATAATACTACCATTAAAAAAATTTCAGCAAATAATCACTCGTCCCGTAGTCTCAAAAAATTTCATTGTTACCTCTCCTTATAAATAAGCCTATATTCATATAGCTGCAGTTTCTCTCAGGTTATCAGTGTCTAGATAATGTCACTACTAATTCAAACTTATAAACAATAAATACAACAACTGTTCAATGCCTATAAGCGAGGAATCTACAAATATAGAATTCTCTTATAAGAATCTCTGATGAAAAATTATTGTGTACAATTTTATTAAAGCTGTGAAACGAGATATGAGAAACATTTCTGTTTCCTGAGAAGTTACAGTATTAATACACGTTCACATCCAAGTACAGTATATACAGAATTAATGATATTAATACACACACACATACTAAGTATTTGCTATAGAAAATATTAAATTACAATACTGTAACATAAGAAAATACATAGTATTTACAGCTGCTCAAAAATAAAAAATAAAAATAACAAAATTGATAAGATGCCTTAATGTGAGAAATTGTTCATCTTGGACTATTGCCTAAATGGTATTCAGGAAGTGCCACTTCTAAAGAAAACCTATTGAGATCACTTTTCTGAATAACAAAGATGCTAATTTCTTGGTCATGAAATACATTAGCACATGCCACTGGGTCTTATATTATTAGATGTATTCACAGGGATCTTGTAATAATCGATGTATTCACAGGGATCTTGTATTAATGAGATGTATTCACTGTCAGATCATTAAACTAGTACATATTCCCCAACTGAGCTGTATCTATGTGAATGCTAAAATGGTGAAAACATTGTTAATGATTTTCCATATCAACTGCAATCAAAATATTGCAACTCTAAACATTTATAAAGGTAAAATGACACATGATGGTGAATACATGTGCTCTACTTACCAGTCATCTGCTACTGTTAAAATATTTAAATGTTATGGTATATAAAAACTTACCAAACAAAATTAATTTCAGCATACTGTGCATATTATATCCTTTAGCAAGTGTTGATATATCATGACGCTTTTGATTTGTATATATAAATATTTTCTTTGTGTGTCTTTTCTCGAGACAACAGTTCTGTCTGTGTTATATGTACATTTCCATGTTCTTCTTGACCTGGTGACCAGTTGTGGAGTGCTGTATAGCCCAGTCAGCATTGGGAGCAGTTTCCACACCATCTGCCTCGTGAGTCTGGTAGTCACCTTTGTGTCGTGCCATGTACCGTCCAATTAAGAACCCCATGCACAGCAATGCAAGAAAAATGATTCCAAGCACTCCTGGAAAAAAAATATATTACTTGTGCTTTCTTTTGCTGTTTTTATTTAGTCTTTACGAAATAAGTTTCAATAACATGAATGTTTTCCCAATACTGTACTACACATGAATTTTCCTTGTACAGTATTACAGATGCTGTACACCTTCGGAATTGTACCTACAATAGGTGATGTTTGATATGTACAGGGGGTTACATTCATGCAAACCCAATGACAATCACTCAAATTTGGTTTACCGAAATTATTGGTAGGCCTTACTCCTGAAAGTAAGTTATTTAAAATAATGTTCACTGAAAGAGCTTGGTGAGGCTGAAAGGAAAGGAGTTTGACATTCCTATGCAATAATAAGCAATCAGTTTATCCCATCTTTGACAGGTTTATTTAGTAATTTTTCCGTGCTGGTTAGTGGCGATCAGTTGATTAGCAGCAGACACCACCTACACACACACAACTCCTGAACTCTGGTCAATATATGACTCAAGACATTATAAACAGAAAATGTTTATATACCAACTTTATTCCTGCCACTTGTTTTATTATGCAAATTTACTATTATTCCTAGCTCATGTCATCAAAAGATAATGCACAGTAATTATAATTTACTGAACATTATTTATGGTAAAATAAGTGTGGATGAGTTGACTATGCATAAAAATTAAGATGAAAAAGAGGAGAATGGGAAGCAGCAGTAGATTGCCTCAATCCCTCACTGTTGATAATCATACTCCTTTCACAGAACAATTGTGACTCAAAACTCTAAACATGCAATTTTCTATTCCACTTACACAGCCTAATTGATGAAATTCCAGTATTTTTGGAGGGAGGTCCCTGTCGGCTCCCTGAAGCTATCTCAATGAGATTGCTCCATGCAACTGGGTCACATCAGACAGTGATGTTCTTTTTAGCCAACTGGGGACCAAAGCCAGAACCTGACCCCCCTCACAAAGATGCAGAGTGCATGGTGTTCTTCTTTCTGTCCTGGCTTTTTCCTCCTCTTCTTTTGCATCATCTTCTGAATACTGTTGCCTCATATCATGTGGCACTGGTGGAGTCACTTCATTTTGCATTTGGGGTCGATACTACAACGGCTCTGTTTTCCAAGCTGTCTTGTGCATTGTTTCACCTCAAGGCTGTTGATGTCCCATTTGAAACAGCTCGGCCTTTCAACATGTTTTTCCTTTGTTTCTTTCGCTTGGTTTACAGTGTCCCTTTCGGTCTGTGTTTGTTTTCTGTTTGCTTTAGGTTGCTCTTGCTCCAGTTGTAGGGCAAGAAAAATGATTCGCGGGAATGGGGAGCTTCGTGCTCTCCTTTGGAGACTGGGGTTTTGTTCGTTGGTTCTGGTGGGCACTCGGTTTGGTTGCAGCTGGTGTAGAATAGAATGTCTTATCTGGTGTAGAACAAGTCAGTTGGTTTCTGAAGACCATTTGTTTCTAATGCTTGGTTGTTTCGCGAGTGTGTTCTGGTGGCTCAGTATCTTGTTAATGTGCCCGGGTCCCGGCACCCTTGTGTGGCGCTGGGTTGTCTCTCTCGTCCAGGTGTGTCAGCTTCATCCTGATTCCTGCAGTGCTCCCTCCTCCATGGTAAAGTTATCTTCAGGGAGTCACAAGGGGATACCCCCCACCCAGAAAACCAGCATTGAAAGTAAATAAATGCCAATTTCTGGGTGAGCCCCATTGGCCCCCGACACCCTTCCTCCCTCCAGGTCGTCGGTTTTGTTATATCTGTCATGTTAATGAAATTGGAGTAGCTGGCTGACTGTAAGCTACCTCCCTCCTCATCTACCCCCCCCCCCCCTCCAACCCAAACGAATGGGGGAAGTGGGGTGATTGAGCTTATGCTTGTTTAGAGAGTTTTCGATCATTTGTCTATATATTTGGGGGAGCTCTTTCAGAATTTCTCGAGGCTGCAGTCTCTAGTTAAGCTAGCAATGGTCTCTTTTATCTTGCTGACTTTCTGGTTTCTTCTCCAGTGGTGGCATAAATAAATGGCACTGCTCCATGCACCTCTCTGAGGGGGCCAAGTTCTGGCAATGGTTCCCAAGTAAGCCTATAGAACTCTGCAGCTAATGCAACTTAGTACAGTAGTTAGCACAGTATCAAGTAACAGTAGCTTCAGGAAGCCACAGGGACTCACCCAGAAATTACCATTTCATTATATTAAATGCTGGTTTTTGATCATTTTATATTATTTTTTAACATCTACTCGAACTCATTTCCAAAAGAAACAATTTAACTATGTTAGTGTAAACTAATATAAGAAATATAAATTAACGCAAAAATAACAAGCTCAAATGCTATATCTCTTCTTACCGCCAAGGACTGCCGAATTGTCCGCGTACAATTCCATGAGGACTTCCTCCGACACTTCCGGCGGTGGCCGTGTTTCTGTTTCTTCCTCTGGATATCGGATGGGTTCAATACCACAGTAGTCCTCGAAGATCGTAGATGCTATTTTAAAATATAATTATTTAAGTCAATCAGTGAATGGTGAACATAAAAATGTACGAGAATTTATTATTATGCAAATAAAATTCAATATGTTACATTTATGATGAATAAATCCTTATAAAAAGCAGACCACACACAAATAAAATTAGCACCATTTTCTATTTATATAGTAAAATTCTTCTTTCTACAAAATGTTAAACAACATATTTTACATTGTATAGTGTAGAGAACACAACTAGTGTCTTAATGAAAGGCCGAGGATAGCAACTACGAGACTAATACACTGAACAATACTCTTCTCAACTTCCAAACTTCATCTGTCATCATATGGATTCCTGTGAGGTTTAATCACCCTTTTATCACTTCATCTTATTTTATACATGACGGTCAAGTGATACATGACAAGCCTCCAAGTACAGTACTCCAGTTCTCTTATTATACTCGAGCATTAGCATACTTCCCTAAACAAGCACACTTCAATTTTTTTTTAAATTTCATCAGTTACCTGGATGAAAAAAATAATACCCCAGCGGTGTTTGGCAGCCAACCTGATGGATAGAATGCCAACTCGGCAGGCCAAGCTAGCCGAAATCCTTAGGGACTGCAGGTGCTCTGGAGTGTTACATGTTGGTGGACAGGTGAGTTAGGACAAGAGATGTTCACACAATGTTTTATTTTAACCTCATTTTATATTTAACCGATTTTTTTTTTTATAACTTTCTCCTCAGTTTTTGGTAGATCTCTCATACCTAAGCTGCCTTCACATCGTAAATAGTAGTAGATTGTGGTCCTCTTGCTAGGTCAGTGAGTTAAGAGGCTTAGCATGAGTCTTAGGTTCAGTGGTATCAATACTGTACTAAAACCCTGGCGAGCTACTGAGCAATCTTTCACATAAAAAAATTAATAATATAGCATTTTATACATATTTTTTAAGTTGTTTTCGAGGTATGAATACTCAGTTAAAGGGGGATTCAAAAATTAAAATTAATCTGGATTTGCCTTTTAATTAATCATTGTGAAACCCTTTACTGCTGTGTTAATATCAATATGAAGGCTCAGAGATTCGCAAATAATTTAATTAAAAAGAGAGAATATTATTGGTATACACATCTTGAAGTTACAGTGTAACACTTCCTTCTCTTCCTAAGTAAATACTACCAAAACAAAAGTATAACTGTAATTCAAGAATACGCGCGTATTTCACATTATTTAACATTACTGAGCAAAAGCTGGTAGTTATTTCCAATTCGTTAAATAAATAACTTAACTGACTACGAGGATCTGACATTTATATCCAATGCATTAACATTATAAAATATTAATGTTTACTTAGATTAATTATGATAATTACTGTATATACTACATTCTACTTCAGTATCATATATACAAAACTTACATTAGCTTTTAAGCACACTACATAACCCACGGTGTATGCCTGCCACATTCTTGCTACACTGATAACATACAACTGGCAAACATTTTCTGTTCCTACTTCATCCGAGCCTCGCACATGACCTGAAGCCACCCAACCTCTGCTGCACAGTGTTGCCAAGTGTACAATGATAGCTATACGCAACACTTTATTAAAACTAATCTTATACGACTAGCAATAAAGAATACTCTTATATCTTGAAATTAGCTTGCATTATCTACTGCCAAACTTTAATGTGTAATATTTTATTGGCTGAAAATTAATTGGGAACTAAGCCTTCACATTTATACCTTTGAATTTTGTAAATGCAATTAAAATCATTAAATATTAGCAAATTGGTATTGGAAGGTGGTGACTTTACTCCTTACTACTGAGTGGTGCAATCAGTCTCACATTCTTTGTATTATAAAGTTGAGGGAATTGAGCTGGGGACCCATCTTACCATTACAGGCAATGAATAATTAACTTAATTACACTTCAAAGTGCTTGTATGTGATATTTAAGCTTGAAAAAGTAGAGGTAGTGATTGTTATTAAATATGCACCAAGTGATAACAGATATAAGAATAAGTTTTTTGCTGGACAGCTTAAAGAATAAGACTGGTAAAATATCTATGAGTTGTACATTAATTTTAAATGGTGATATGAATGGTTAGGTGTGAATTGACCTGGATAATGATGTAAGATAATAAGATTAGGTGGTGAAAATGTCACTGTATCTCACACACACACACACACTGTATATAGTGTGCTCATATATGGGCACATGCACAAGGGAACAGAGGTGGAAACTGAGTTTGAGCCACAGAGATATTAGAACTTTTTAGTGTCAGAGTAGTTAACAAATGTAATGCACTAGGCAGTGATGGGGTGGAGACTTAATACCATTTTCAAATGTAGATATGATAAGAGCCTAATAGGTTCAGGAATCTGTACACTGATTGATTGACAGCTGAAACATGGGACCAAAGAGCCGAAGCTCGAACCCCCACAAGGATAACTAGTTGAGTACACACACACAAGTTAAGTAAGGTGGTGGTGGATGCCGAAACCATCAATAATTTCAAAGACTCATAGGATGAGGAGCGCTGGAAAGACAGGACACTACGAGTGTAACTCTCATCTTGCAACTACATTTAGGTAATTACACACAAAACTAGAGACTGACTCTGAAGACTGATGAACGTGTATTGAGGTGGTCGAGCTTTAATAAATCATGAAGTTTTTTTTTTAATAAACTGGCATAAATATAAGGTACTGATGATATCATGGGTATTTAACAGCTACATGGATGAGATCATGAGAGAGATCACGATAACAATGTTTGAGGGAGGAAGGGGGGAATATAAACCTACTGTATAAACATAATATGAGTAATTGGAGTAATATGAGTAAATTGTATGTCAAATTTAATGTATGCAGATAGAAAAAATTATTTTAGTAGAGAAAGCATCCATCCCCCCCCCCAACCCATGGAAGTAAAAAAATAGTAATACCTTGCATATGAGCAAGGACTGCACTCATATATATATATAAAATCACCCTAACTATAAACACCCCTTGATCTAGGAATGTTGTACAAGTTATTACAGTATCTGTTAACTAGTCATAAAAAGTTTCACAAAATGCACATAGTGATTTATTTAAAAAATTATAGAAAATTTGCAGCTTATATCACAAAGAAAAAGTAACAGCACACCTTTTCAAGAGTTTGTGCATTTGTCATCTAAATTTTTGAAGATCAAGAACAACAAAAGCACAATCCCATACAAAAAATATTTTCTCACTTCATTATGCAGACACAAAGACCCCTACTCCCCCCCCCTCCTCTCCACATATTAGGTTTATCAGAAACCACAGAAAAACCCCAAGTTATCATCAGAACATAAAGAACAGGTGAAAATAACAAAACACATTAGATATACTGAACATATCAAGATTATATTATACCAAACCATCTACATTTCAAGGCCTCAAAATATTCAACCCTCCTGGATTCATCATTACTAGTCTGCAGTTCACTATGTGTTTGGTTACTTTCTTTACCCATTATTGAGTTATCCAAAACAAGTAAGCTACTTAAACTCAACAAAGCCATACAAAGTATAACAGAAGGTTATATAAGAAACCCTACAAGTCTTCCCCTGGTACTAGTCAACATGAGAGGCTTCAGTAATTCAAGTAAACCACCTACATATATATAGAGAGAGAGAGCTAAAATACTCAAAACTTACTTACAGAGCAATATAATAAACAATGGGATAAGCAACTACTTGGAGACTGAGCCATAATAGTTTCCCAGTGATCTTTTGCACATTTTATAACACACTTAGCGATATGCTTGTGCTTAATACCCAATGTACATTAGCTAATAAGAGAAGGAATACAAATATGGATTTTTTGTTTGAAATTATATACAAATGGAACCATTAATTTTGAACATGAAACATATACTGTATGTGTAGTGAAGAAGAAGGATGCATTATCATAAAACAAGAAATTGCATTACTGGATTAATGACAATTACAAAAATACAATCTTGGGATAAGGGTGTAATACTTCAAACAAATGTAACACAATTTACTCAATATATATACAAAACAAAATATAACATACTTGATTCAGCAGTAATTGTAGTAGGACGGTCTTGTTGAAAATAGAATTTGAGTGGATAGATATCATCAAATTCAACTCGTGATATGCATCCAACAAATCCTTCCGTCATCGATTCATTCTTTCCGATATAAACGTACTGAATGTTGTTAAACTGAGCATCTGCTGATCCTTTGACATCAAACGTCCAGGAAGTGGGCTCATAATTGTCCACCTGTAAAGAGAAAAAATATTAACTTAAAAGTCACTTAAATATTAACTGCAGACAAAATTACAGTGTAGTACATAATATGATTTGGCAGCTTTTAACTTATGTGGGGCTTATGTCCCAGTAAAACCCAAAGCATAAATATGTTAAATAAATGTTACAGCAATACACTGCATTGGAATAATATGGTTACAGTCCATAAACATCTTAAAAGTTAATTCTGTTCCCACTCTTTACTCGATAAAATATCTATCTGAACATTAATGTCAATTACTCTGAAATTCAGATAGGCTCTAGAACAATATACAAGAATCCTGATTTTGGAGTTTGTAGTATACAGTATCAAGCTTCAAGAAGATACTGCCTTGAAAATATAAGTAGATTACAGAAATAGAGAATATAGTATAAACAAATCTTGTGCAAAAATTAGAAAGGGGGGAAATATTTTCTAACAGTATAATTTGAGAAATGCAAACCCACCCCAAGGAAGTGGGAAATGGGGTATTAAAAATAATGATTATTTTACTTTTAAAATATAATTAAGGTTGTAAAGTCACATTCACTTAAAAGTCTATCTAGGCACAATACTTGACATGAAAAAATCAACGAAGTGTTTCTTACAAAAATTCTTATTTCTCCTTACCTGCATTGTAAGTTTTCTACCAGATTCTGATCTATAGAGCTTCACATCATGGTTTTGGCCTTCGTGGAATGTTCGCTTCCCATAAACCTTTTCATGCCGCTCAAATCCAAAATCAAAAGTTACTCTTAAATGACCTGTAAATAAATGCACAGTTATTGTCCACTGCTTCTATCCAAATCCAACATTTACAGACCACACACTAATGTCTTGTATGGCTCAGATGAATGATATTTTATGAAAAGCTCCATGCTACCATTTACTGCCAACCAGATTTAGAGAGTATCATAAAACCAGACAGTCTAAGAATTATTGTTATAAACATTAAAGACTTCAGATTTACTTTTAATAAACATTCTTTAATAACCCAGGAGACTTTGGTAACCTTGGGCAAAATAACGTAAAATAAATTTCCGTCTCACTGAGGAATCAGGAAAATGAATTAGGAAAGTAAATAAGAGGCTAACTTTTGTATAGAGACCTATGGTGGCCCAAAAGTCTCCAAACATAGGGAATATTAACACTATCAACAAGTACTGGTAACTATATCTTACAATTGTGCTCAACACATATATCTATGTGGGCTCGTTCTCGACCCACAATCGAGAATTCCGGGTTCGAATCCCGGGTGGGATAGAAATGGCTTGGCACATTTCCTTTCACCTAATGGCTCTATTTACCTAGCAGTGAGTAGGTACTCAGGAGTGAGTCCGCGTGTTGTGGGGTTGCATCTTGGGTGGGGTCAATAATTCGGCCTTGGGGAAAGGGGAGGACCTCAATACAAGTCTATCGTGTATGAAGACACACTGGCTTCCTGTCCCCCGACAATGAATTATTATTGTTATTATAATGAAGTGTTTTGAGTTTTTCTGATCCTCTTCTTTTTCACCTGTGCGGGACACTTGAAAGCCATGGTGTACAAGGAAAATATATGAAATATGAATCAACTGAAGGAATGCATTCTATATGCAATTTTGTGCATAACACCAGATATGTTAACAAGTCTACCATGAGTGGGAGAATCACATCTCTCTGTGTTTTCAAAGTACAGTAATGGCAACCATGTAGAACACATTTTGTGGTTCAAGTTACGCTTTGATCAAATGTGCTAATTTTCCCTATGGATAGAAACTTTTGAACCATCCTGCATCAACATCTTTAAAATAAAATGTGGGTTCTGTTTGTTTGCGTCTTACTAAGCCCAACTCCAATGAAGCCTGAAAAAGAAGTTTTGTTTTCTAGAGACCTTTTAAACTACTTTATTTTCAGCTGTTCATAATATCCCAACTTACACACAATATAACTACACAATTTTTGAAATTATGTTGTTACAACAATGCATCAAAGGAAAAATTTAATGTATGATATTGTGGTGATGTGTGCTTGTTCATATTTCATGTTCTCAGAGAGATACAAATAGAGAGACATAAAGAGAGGGGGAAAGGGGGGAGGAAAAAAAAGGGAGGGAAGGAGACAGGGAAGTGAGTGGAGGGAAATTAGAAGAGAGGGTACAGAGGGAAGGGGGGGAGATGGAGAAGAGAGGGAGGAGGGTGAGAGGAGGAGGGAAGAACAGAGACCCGGGCACCATCGGGTAACCCCTCTAGTGTACTACAGATCAATTCAATGACTAAATGAGATAATTTATTGCAAATAATAATTTTAATATTACCATTTTTTTTTATTTAAAAGTACATACTTACCCGAGTTAGATATGGCAAGTGTGAGATATTCTCCAGTAATGTTTGAGTACAGCCCCATGAGAAATCCTCGTGGATTAGTTGTAGTAAATCCAACACGGATCTTCTCAGCAATGGTGGACTTGTACGTGCCTGGAATCTCATACTTGACCATTGTGTCTGTTAACATCTTGATGCCGATTTCTATGAATACATTATAAACATGGAGGAAATTAATCAAAATCTGAAATATTCTAAATTATTCATACAAATCAGTAATGGAATGAATATGGCTTTTATTTCTCAATAAAAATTGCTGACCCCCCAGTATTTTGTTACTATACTCTACTGTAATGTATCATGAGAACATTTTAACAGTTCTACATCAAATCTTCCAAATAATTATATTATAAAGTACTTACCATCAGCACAGATGGGGCCCTTAAATGCAGTCCATCGGCAGTCACAATCATACTTGGAATATCGTTCGTGACACGTGCCATTGTTAAGGCAAGGGTTAGACTGGCACTTGCCGATACACCCTGGAGTGACTCCATACATTCCAGCTTCTGCTCTTCCTCGTAAATCCTGAAGTTCCCCATTGAGGATAAGGGCTCGGAAACATCCAACAAAACCATCAAGGTAATCTACAGTAGCTCCTAAATATTGATAAAACAAGGAAAATGAATTAACAATTTCAGAGGTTATCTGATAAAAACAAAACAAAAACTGTTAACTATTATTTTAACAAGCTTTTCTTACAATGTTGTAGTGATTTCATCTGAACCTTCTCCAGCATTTATATTCTATCATTAGGAGTACAAATGACTAGTGCTTCAACCAGCAACATTGTCACCCACATCTTTACAGCTTGGATTTACCAGTTCACTATTAATGGTAGTTTCTTTTATTCAACTGCTGTGAACTGACTATTGCTAGTTCCAATTTTTGGCCCAAAAACTTGTCTTTAAATCTCATAAACCAGCAATCACTTGTACTAATGTCACAGATAACTAATTTAGTGGAAAGCTTTAGAATCTACAACCTTAGTTCCTCACATCATACCAACACTGACAAGCAGTGATGTGATAACCGTTTGTACACACCAGCATCCAATTTTACATATTAAGCATACTTCAGTGATTTCCCTAAACATGCAATGCTCTATTTAAATTTCCACACTGTGCTGTAACCATAAAATTGAGAGGCTTTGCTTTCTTATGTTGTATATATTTGCAAATATGGCTGCAGTGGTTGATACATGTATCACTATTGTCAGTTAGGGTCACAGTGCAGGGGTAACGAATAACATAACCGTTCTCAAGTGGGACCGTGATAAGCCTAGCAACATTACCTTTTCTGACAATGATATTGGGCAATGCCAGTTGACAATATACAACTCATCCTCCTGAAATGATAGTATTTGTAGTAACTATTTTCTGGAAAGTACCAATATGTAGTATTGGACCACCAAAAAGTAAAATTTTTGTACTTTTAATTTTATGGAGCTCTGGAAAAATCAAGTAAAAACCAACCTTAAATTTTTGTAAGCCTAGTACAATATATATATATATGTACTATATTAGGCCTAAGATAGCATAGAAAGCAAATCCTTCCAAGAACTACTTGGCATCAAATAGATGGTCAAGAAATGCTCTGTTAATCATTAATTGTTTTCCTGGGCACTACCCTCAGCTGCCAACAAGTGCAAGCACCTACATGTCAGAATGAAACCTTGACATTACCCACCTCACATTTCATACAACAAGAACTATACACAAAGCATAGGGAAAGTTGGCACAAGGAAGAGAACAAGAGTAATTGAGTGACTTGCTGAGAAGCAGCCTTTCATCTACATGCAAAGCCTTATTTCTGAGTGGTTCAGCTTTGTTGCTACCTTAGGCATGAGTATACAAAATGGCTAGAAATACCAGTAATAAAAAGCAAATGCAAGGAACTGAACTATCTGCCAAATAGATGATCGTTTGAAAGAATGGTACCAAAGTGCAAATGTGTGGTTTGGCCTTCAAATACCATGAGCCCTTATGTCAGCAAAAGACATAGCAAAAAAGAACGTTAGCAGTGTGACAAATCTTTGCCAACCTTGAGCACTCGGATAAATCAGTGGCTGACTAAATTTGACTACTCCTTACATAAATTTTGTGAATCAAAGCATACAAAGAACCATTGTGCAGGGGACCAGAAAAAGGAAGTGTGGGGAATTGTGGTGGGAAGCTTGAAAATACCAATGCTAAGTTACAACCAAAAAGAAGAAATTGAAAGAAATCTATCCATATTAATATTCTTCAGTAGGATAGGCAGAAAGAGCTTTTTCACTGCTCTAGGTGGCTTTCTAAAATGAAATCAATCTCATTCTTAGCCAAAAATAAAGGATTTCGGCATAGAAAAATTACTTTATGAAGCTTATGCAGAATTACAATATGCATATCAATCAATTCTTACATTTCCTGGATGCATTCTTAAAAAATTAAAAAATGAACATAGTTAACTTACCAACTACAAAATCAGAATCCAGATGTAGTGCACGGACTGGTACAGATGGCTCTTTTATAACAGCTTTTCGGCCTCCATCAACAATCATACGGGCTTCTTTACGGTTTCGCTCTACTATTACCGAGTGCCACATGTTGTCATTGAGCACATAGGCTGTTTCCACACTGACACTCATGGGACCAGAGCCAGCCTGATACTGAAACTGGAGCTGCATGCCACCTATTAAAGGGAAAATTTAAATCATGAATTTACATTAGAAACAGTATATGCTAAGTCACTATATACAAATAAAATTTGTTACTCTGAACACGAGATGAGATTCATTAAGCACTGCAGGCGATGAGTCACAATAACGTGGCTGAAGTATGTTGACCAGACCACACACTAGAAATTGAAGGGACGACGACGTTTCGGTCCGTCCTGGACCATTCTCAAGTCGATTGTGATGAGGACAGGTAGGGACAGGCATTAAATAGGCAAGAGAGAGCTGAGGAGGAAAGTCAGGTGTAGGGGATAGTAGTAATGAGAACTGCAGCAGGCCTATTGGCCCATACGAGGCAGCTCCTATTATAACCACCGAAGGAGATAGTAATAGGAATAAGAAGAGGATAGCAAGGGAGCGTAGAAGACAATGAACAGAAAAAGGGAGAAGAGAGAAGGAAAGGGAAAGAGAAAGAAAGAAATGGAAGGGGGAAAGCTTATGTTAAGTCACGTTTGTTAGAAAGATTAGAGCATTTGAGTATATACTGTGAAAGGGAAGAGTCCACAGCAACAAAGCCAGGACTCAAGTTCATGTTGGGTACATTGTTAATAAGAGCCGATTCTACAAGACGGCGTCTGTGTAGAGTAGAGGCAGGAAAGATTATTTTGGAGGAAGACCAATCAATGGGATGATTAGAATCCCTCACATGGCAGAAGAGAGCATTGTTAGTGTCTGCAGACTTAACACTTCTCTTGTGTTCTTTAAGTCTGTCATTCAGTGTACGGCCAGTTTCGCCAAAGTATTGGAGAGGACAAGATGAACAGGAAATAGAGTAGACACCAGCAGCATTAGAAGCAGGAGGAGCAGTGTGAACTAGATTGCTACGAAGTGTGTTAGTTTGTCGAAAGGCGAGTTTAATGTCAAGAGGACGAAAGGTATTGGTAAAAGTTTTGAGTTCAGATATGAAGGGAAGGCATAGTACAGTGCTACTAGTGTTGGAAGCAGGTTTAGGATGAAAGAAATTTCGTTTAGCTTGAGAGTAGGCACAGTTGATGAAATGCAAATCAACTGTGCTACTCTCAAGCTAAACGAAATTTCTTTCATCCTAAACCTGCTTCCAACACTAGTAGCACTGTACTATGCCTTCCCTTCATATCTGAACTCAAAACTTTTACCAATACCTTTCGTCCTCTTGACATTAAACTCGCCTTTCGACAAACTAACACACTTCGTAGCAATCTAGTTCACACTGCTCCTCCTGCTTCTAATGCTGCTGGTGTCTACTCTATTTCCTGTTCATCTTGTCCTCTCCAATACTTTGGCGAAACTGGCCGTACACTGAATGACAGACTTAAAGAACACAAGAGAAGTGTTAAGTCTGCAGACACTAACAATGCTCTCTTCTGCCATGTGAGGGATTCTAATCATCCCATTGATTGGTCTTCCTCCAAAATAATCTTTCCTGCCTCTACTCTACACAGACGCCGTCTTGTAGAATCGGCTCTTATTAACAATGTACCCAACATGAACTTGAGTCCTGGCTTTGTTGCTGTGGACTCTTCCCTTTCACAGTATATACTCAAATGCTCTAATCTTTCTAACAAACGTGACTTAACATAAGCTTTCCCCCTTCCATTTCTTTCTTTCTCTTTCCCTTTCTTTCTCTCTTCTCCCTTTTTCTGTTCATTGTCTTCTACGCTCCCTTGCTATCCTCTTCTTTTTCCTATTACTATCTCCTTCGGTGGTTATAATAGGAGCTGCCTCGTATGGGCCAATAGGCCTGCTGCAGTTCTCATTACTACTATCCCCTACACCTGACTTTCCTCCTCAGCTCTCTCTTGCCTATTTAATGCCTGTCCCTACCTGTCCTCATCACAATCGACTTGAGAATGGTCCAGGACGGACCGAAACGTCGTCGTCCCTTCAATTTCTAGTGTGTGGTCTGGTCAACATAATATTATATATATATGGAAATGTTTGGCTGTTCAAGGTTGGAGGGGAGAGGGGTAATGTAGGATAGATGAGCATGAGGGGGAAGGGGGGAAGAGATAAAATGGGGAGATATAGGGAGGAGAGGGTGGGAAAGGGAGGGATAGTGGAGGGAAGAGGAGTCAGAGTAGAGGGGGTGGAATGTGGGGTGGGGAAGGGGAAGAGATACAGACTGTCTTGGTGAAAGGTAGAGGTAGGACAGTATGTATCTTTTCTAAAAGTGCTCACAGGTTACATGTGTAAACAAATGCCTCTATTATCTTTGAGGAGACTAGTGCAAATTGTATCTCTTTCTAGTCTCAGAACAATTCATTTGTGCATTATTTTCTTAACAATTCTTTAACAAGTAATGTATTAAGGTTTGTAAACAGTAATACAAATCTAAATGAATGCACGAGATATTCAACTTACCCACAATGGAAACTTTAATATAATCTGTAGGGCCCCTGGCATTGATAAGACAACCATCACGAGATGTGGTCTTGAATTCGAAGTATATATCTCCTGAATGGCCCATGTCAAATTGGGGAAGGTTTATAGTGGCATCAGCTTTGCGGAATGTTACCACATTGTCAAATATATCTGTTGGAAAATTGTAAAGAAACATATCAATATATTAAGAACATTATAACTACTAAACAGTCATGCTAAAAGAATAACAGTACATGTTTAAAAAAACAAACTCAAAAGGGTTTCAACCTATTTAGCTGTAAATTGAATAAGGATAATTGATTAATATAAATATGCAATATGCACTGTATATTTGTGTAAATGCATGTGTATGCATACATATATGTGTGTGTGCATGCAATTACAAAACAGTGATCTTTGCAAGTGTACTTACTGTCACCCTCACAAATAAGAGGACCAAGGGTGTATCTAGACTTCTTGCCATCCAATGGAGAGCCTGTGTCACCTATTCGTAGTTGACGTACAGGAAGGTGTTCCTTCACTGTTAGCTCCCCACTGTCAAACAGCCACGACTCCAAACCTTAAGAACAAAAATCACATCAGCATGAGAATTTTGCCTTCTAACCCTATAAGAGTAATATAAAATTTAATGTAATATACTGGAACTTTAATTTGCTCAAATACAATTTAGAAAACTATATAAAAATGCCAGTGTACACCTGTAATAATCCTATAGAACCAGAATTACTTCCAAATATTTGTGGTACTCTTCTTCTCAAGTAATATGAATCGATCATTGTTTAAACATACAAGAAAAATCCTAATTCCCACGTTACAATCAAACACACAAGTTCCACAAACCTTAAAACAAGGAAAGCTGCACAACCTAAAATGAATACAGCATATCATTTGTCCTTAAGGTATGTATAACAAATCAAGTTATGTACAAAGTGCATATTGTCCAAGAATAAATGCCCCCCCCCACTCTCCCAGTTTAAAACTGTCCCTAAAAGGTGTAAAGCTCAATATATGTACAGTAAATTTAAAGATCTCAAGGCATTCTGACAATGTTGGCCTATGAAATTATCATTGTTATTTGCATGCATCTCTAGTAAGAGCCCAAATTTGTCACTAAATCATTACATAGATATTAATATGATATACTTAAGGACACCCAAGGAAAGGTATTAATGCAGGGATTAGTGTTACAAAAGAGAGAGAAAAAAAAAAAAAAAAAAAAAAAAAGACATGGGTTAAAGATATGGAATTTCTTCTAGTTAAGATTAATACACTTATTATTCCAAGCTAATTTTGTTCAATAAATGATCATATCATTTCTCCGGCAACTAACATTCATATCGCACACTTACTCAACATAAAACATAAATCTATGTAAACAGTATCAATTGCGTGTGCTTATTAAGCAGAGGAACATGCAGCGTGACATAATTTACACAAAATACTTACCAGCATCACAATTGCACCACTTGTCAGTGACGCAGGTACCCATAAGTCCACATTCACACTTGCGTGATCCTGGCAGCGATCCACCCCAATAATCCATTGGCTGATTATTGCGTGATACCCACCATGTGTAAGGCTGCAATATATTGAATGTATTAACATTCTTCCTGCTCTGTGTTGAGAAGCAGGGCACTCAGCTGAATAAAATTATCCTCTCCAAGCTGTATTGCTTGCACGTCAGGTTCACTTTCTGGGAGGTTCCTCTCAGTAACTCCCCAGTGCTGTTGTGCTTGTACCACCAAGACAAAGGATCATGCCAGGCTGCTGACACCCCACGCTGGCCTATCAGGAGCCAGGAAGGGGATCTGACTTTTTCCACATGGTGAGGTGAATGTGATATTCAGGGAGTGAACCAAAACTTGAGAAAAACTATTCAAAGAGTACAGGTGAAAAAGCAAAACAAATGCAAACCTTCATTAGAAAGGGAAAAAATAAAACAATGCAAGAAGTACATTCCTGATGGTAAATAATCATAATAACAAATGTACATTAGAAGGTGGCAACTCGGTATCATCCGTGGGTTTAGCCAGCCACCCACCTTCACCCATAAGCAGTCCCAAGACATATTGTACATATCCCCACGAGAAAGATTTGCAATGATGGGCAGAAAATAGGAGCTACAAGGACAAACCAGAAAAAGTGTGTTTTATTAAATTCAATGCTTGATTTCTGGGCTGCCCCTCGGCAATTCCCTGGTGCAAACTCACACTGGCACCTCAAGAGACATGAAAAGTTCTGGCTTTACTGAAAAGAAACATTAATACATGAACAGCCAACACTCAAAACCTCTGGCAGCAGCAAAGAACTGCAACAGCAATGACTTTTACCAAAAGTACAAACTCAGACCCTTAAAAGCTGCAAGCAGCAAAAGTCCAACTTGAGGGTGGATGAGGGATCCATTGTGGCCAGAGGGAGAAAAAACAAAAATATGGACGAAATGGGAATTAGCTGTCTGGACTGTTAATGAACCGACAAAAGTGAGATAAATACATGAACAGTGAACTTATTTATGGATCAAAAAGGTCATATAGTGCATAGAATGAAACTGAAAGAATCCTTAATCACTTCCAAAGTGCAATCCTAGAAATAAATAAAGCACCAACATATACAGAAGGGCCAAGCACATACCAGTACAATACTGTCAAATGAGCACATAACTAACCTATTTAACTCCCATCAACAGATCGGGCACCGAGGACCAAATCCCAAGCATTACCCCAATATCGGACATAGGTGCAACTCAAGTGGCAAAACCACAGAAAAGACATGCAAACTCCCCAGAGAAGATAATTCTGGTGAGAGAATAGGTCACTCGAACCAACACCAAAGAGAAGGATCCTGAAACATTGTCTGAGCAGACTAAAAGACTAAGGTGGTGGCCATTAACACAACCGTGAAGCACAATTGGGGGGGTGGGGGGTGCGGGGGACCATACACACTAAGCACAGCTCCTTCGGGAAAAAAAGCATTCCAAGGAATGCTACACTACTTATCTAGAAAGCAAATGAGATGTCCCAGCAGAAGAATGAGCATCAAGAGCAGTACCAGGCACTTGAGTGAGGTTGAGGGCTGAGTGGACTCCTTGGTGTCCTGACATGGGTGCTCATGTGATAATTTTTTACCACTGGCAAACTACTGTTTGTCTTGTGTTACTTTACTTCTCATTCACTTTAATCAAGAGTCATTGTTTTGCTTCGCATATGTTGTCTGAGAGTTTTTCTTGGTTTCAGAACAATCTTTGTTCCCCATGAGCACACCAGATTTTTTTATCGGTGTTCAATAAGCCTGCACAAGACCAGAGGTCAGTTAGCATTATAAGTGTCTTTGTGGTACCAGAGCCTAATGCACTGAGAAGCTAATGAGGGCCCAGTCCAAAATAGGTAGATACCAATACATTGATACACTAATTTATTGTACTGTACTACACAGTGTTTATTGCAGAACTGATCTTGTTCAAACAATTGAAAATTAACTTTAGTGTGACTAAATGTTTTCCACTATTATGCTAGCCAAATTATTTGATTTTTTAAACTTACTATCTTATAAATAGAGAGAGAAAGTAGCTACACAACATATTATAGGCCAATTTAGGATGTAAAAATATTTAATGACTAATTTAGAATTGCCTTTTTTTATGCGGAAAACTAGTATAGATTTTAGAAACCTTAAGTTACAGCAACAGTTGTTTAACACTATGAAGGAAGCTTTAATACATGATCCACTTTTTTTTCCCCCCATTCCTAGCAATGCTTCCAAACCAACTGATTAACTACTGGAACTGAACCTCAACAAATACCTGGAAATCTTGGTCTTCAGGAGATGGGGAATTAAAAAGTTTTGCCTTCAGACACTCATAGTGTATACGCTGCCGACATTTGCTGGAGCGATTTACAAAAATTTCAATTTGTTCCATGCCAGCATCATAAATTATATTCTGTACATATGATCCCCTTTTCTCAAATCCATCAACAGTAGTCATCTTCTCATGTTTGTGGCTCAAGTAGGAATATATTTTTCCATCATCTGAGGAAGTGGATTGAATAAGTACATATTATGACACTGAATCCACCATCTGAATATATTATTAATAAACAGTGAATCATAAGTGTTTGCAACAACATAATGCTAGCTCCATAATAACTGACCAAGGTACTATTTGAATATTGCAACTGAAGTGTGTTGCAAGAAAACCCTGACAAACTCCAATAGTGGCAGAAACATGGCAGTTAAGAGTTCAACCCAACAAGTGAAGAGTAATGAAGATGGGAAACGGTGACAGGAGACCAAACTAAAGGAAGGAATCTACACCATAATTGGAAGGCAATTACAGCATTAACACCACAAACTGCTCACATAAATACAATAACATCAGCTACATATGGAAAGATGCCAAGCATAAGAATGTTGTATAGAAATCCAAACAAGGATTTGTTCAGCAGTAGAATATGCGGCACATTCATAAATTACACACTTTGTGAAGCATAACTAAAAAAAAAGGGAGCTTTGGAACTTAATACTTGAATTAAGAAAACTCAGTACAGTATTATAAATCAAAAGGAGAGAAAGAGCAGATGAAATATGAACACAATGCACAAGATACTGAAGGAAGATGACAAGGTAGACTAGAACAGCCTCTTTAAACTTGTAGGAGGAAATAAGACAACAGGAAATTGGTGGGAGATGAAATGCAAGATGAGACCAATTATTAGAACAAAGTCAAGATACACAGACTCCCCCTTATTCACCCATTCAGAGTGATTACCTCTACTCATCTAATCATTATATCATCATATGCTTTACTCACTAAACATAATAAGCTAATGCTTCACATTAACAAAAACTTTTAATGAAGTTTACAAATGTAGTCAAGAGTAAGGAGGCACACTTACTATAAAACTCGCAGGTGACAGGGAAAGGCACAAGAGGTCCAGAGCCATCAACATCAATATATACTTCAGCACGCTTAGATCCTGGGTTCTGTATACCATATGCAGCACAAGATATTGGATTGAGAGCTGCAAACAATGAATAAGTAGCATATTTAAGTATATGTACCTAATGAACCTGACTAAATTTAAACCAAGATTTTTTTGTTGTTATTAACTGAAACCAAGATTTTTTTGTTGTTATTAACTGAATATAAATCTATTGCAAGAATGTAATTCAAACAAAACAGATAATTAACAAATACTGTAATAAAATTATTTTTTTTTACTGAATTCATTGTTGATATCATTTATTTATTAAAATCAAATGACCATATTAATATGTTGCTAATGATAACTAGAAACTAAGATAATTTGACCTAATTTTCCTACAAGAAAAGTGCATAAAAGACTTTATTAGCAATAAAATTTTCTCATAACTTTTTCTAATTTATCCAGATTACATAACAAATTGGATAAAAAATGTGACATAACTGACAAACACAAAGGTTTATAGGGAAACTGCTCAGGCAGTTGGTCTCATGCCATAATTCTTTCAATTTTAACATCTCACTGAAGAACTTACAGGTGTGACAGACAGCACCAGAGTAGCCGGTGCCAGAGCAGTCACATAAAAATTCCCGGGAGTTCTGTTTACAACGTCCGTGATGTTCGCAAGGGTTGGGATCACATCGGTCCATGATTTGGCACGCAGCTAGTACCACACCCTTGCTGTCACTGATTTCCTATCAAAGGAATGATATTTTACAATTACCTACCAGTCACTAGAATATTATGCTTATTGATCACCGTGTGAATGTTTTTTATTAAAAAGTGCACAAATCAATTCTGTTTTTTTTAAATAAAATTTGAGGGGACAAGCTTAATCAAATAAATTTTTTATCATAAAATTGTCAGAGGGAAACCTAGTTGCATCATTTATGATTCAGTTACCTTCAGTAGATAATAGATTTAAGAAAACCAAGCATCATTACATATGAAAAGTGTGCGGTCAAAACTACTGTATCATCAATGGGTCACATGATTCTAGCAGCTTTAAAACTCCAAGTGTTCAAGAAATAAAACTGCTACATGGAAAAGTATGTGTAGCTTTAAGCTATAACTAACAAATTCTGAGTATATAATGGTATTAGTACTTTATAAAGAAAAAAAAATCATCTATTGGATGTAATTAAACGACCATTTCTTACAGGCCTCAGAAGCTTCCCCATGAATTATGATCTGGTACCAGACACAGAGAATGTTATTAGGCCCACTACTTATTTACTGTCTAGCAGTAAATAGGTACCTGAGAGTTAGACAGCTGCTACGGGCTACTTCCTGGGGGTGTGTAACAATTAGGAGGCCTGGTTGAAGACAGAGATCCGGGGACGCTAAGCCCCGAAATCATCTCAAGACAACCTTTCGAGATAGGTCTACTGAACACCACAAACAGAATCAGATTCTCTTGAAGGCAAACGTAGGAGAGTTTAGAGTTTAGAAATTAACCAAAAGCCAAGAAACATTACTCAGAAAGTGCAGGCAGAACAAAATAAACCACAAATCATGACACAATCATGATGACAGCAAACAGAAGTTTGATGATAAATATCAGACTGGGTGAACCAAACCACTATTGTTCCTGACTAAGAGAGCAACTGCTCAGAGAACATGAATAGTATGTCAATTTATGGGCTATTCATGCCTGAGCCATCTTTAGGGTGGCTTAATTTTTATCAATCTATGTCAATTGTGGTGCACAGCAGCAACAAGTTAGAAGGTACAATGCACCTCCCATCAGACAAACCACCAAAACACAGAGGCCTCATCCTTGACTCAAAAAGGACAAAGGCGGCTGGAAACACATAGCCACTCCTAGGATGAAGAGAACAAACATCTTGCTACTGGTAAGGCGGATGAAGCTACCTAATTCAACTTGCAAGCAAGAAAATACTTGAATAAGGAAATGAAAGAAATTAAAGTGAAGACAAAAGAAAAGGACTCGATCCACAGACCAAGTAGGTTCCAGAGGAAGATGAGCCAGCCAAAGAAGGAAAAAAGGCCTGAAATAACTTAAAGAAACAGGGGAAAAGAAACATCCACCCCAATAGCAAGTAAGAGGAGCTCAGTCAAAGCCAAACAGAAGGCAATATTTTTTGGCAGCAAATGAAGAAAAGTAATCCAAACTGAACTGGAACCAATTAATCTACCAGAGGGATGACTTCATTGTACAGTACTCAGTAAGAAAGCATAGGTTATTTTACAGAATGTCAATTAATGAGAATTATTTCAAACTTTAATTAAAAAAAGTAGTTTTGTTTTTAATAATCTTGAGCAGTGGATACCAAAGCAGTCACTGTAACATAACTAGAACCAAAAATATCTCTGCCAATAAAAGCTAAAGATCAAAGTAATATATATTAGGTAACAACTAAAGTAGTCAGACATAGAGGCACATCTTGAACACTTACATCTTCCTGAGGTTTCTGCATAAACCCAACCACTGAGATTCGTCTCATGCATCCCAAGAAGCCATCTGAGCCATATACACCACCTGCAAGACAATAATTCACAAATATACAGTGATGCAAACGGGAAATATTTTCTTGGTGAGCTCATCACTGCCAATCACAGCAAGACAAAACAAATTTTGTTATACCTTTGGATTAGGAGACTTATAAAACAGTTTTATTTAAGGGCATAACTACACAGAAGTCAAGTACTTTATTATTTTTGAAAAAAGTAACTTCTCATATAATATTGTTCTGAGGTATGTATAGGAATGCTAAGCACAGTAGAGAGCAAACCTGACACCACTATCAAGAGAAACTGCTCATTACGACACTGAAGAAAACCACACACCAGTGGTTTGTCCACACCACAGTGAAGAAGATGTCACACCAACAAAAATGCATAACACTAAAGGCCACTTGCTAAGCATAACCCAGTCATAAGCACTGGCCCCATACCCAAACGAGCTGAGCTGCAAGTACTGTACTATAACTAAAGAACTAAAAACATCATTTCCAACTACAGGTTGTGCATGACACAACTGCAAGGTTCAAACTCCTTGTCTGAAGGTCTGATGAGAGGCAAATGTTATAGGATACAGAAACTATTGTTAAAATAAATATAGTAGAACTTATTTGTCACACTGAAGGTGTATTTTTCATGAAGCTAACATTCCTGCTTTCACAGCCAGAGAGTTAAAGGAGAAGATAAGGGCCTGAGGAGACATGATATAATGTTTAAAATACTGTGGGATAACAGACAAGGCAACCAGGGTCAGCCCATTCCAAATGTTATGGATAATAAGAGTGGAACTTAACAACACAAATCAGAGACAACTAAATATCTCTAGGAAATAGAGCTTAAAAGCATGGTTTTGTTTAACATACACAGCCAGGCCAAGCACACCCACAAACACTAATTACACTTAGGTAATTACACTGCCTCTGGTGGAAGCAGACTTCATCCACAAACACTAATACACTTAGGTAATTATACTGCCTCTGATGTAAGCAGACTTCATACACAGTTTCAAATGTAGATATGATAAAGAGCCCAGTAGGCTCAGGAATCTGTACACCAGTTGATTGACAGATGGGAGGCGGGACTAAAGGGCAGAAGCTCAACCCCCACAAGCACAACTAGGCGAGTACACACACACACACACACAAAATTGCCTTGAAGTCAAGCTGCCTGTGAGGATCATTATCTTCAAGCCTTTAAATAGATATGTAAAAAGTTCGAGGACACACTAACATATATCAGTTAGTAAAACTTATAAAAACTTACCTCCAACAAGGAAATATTTTCCAGATAAAATGGAGATAACTCGTACTGTCTTCATGGGCACATCGTCAATACTGAGTTCCATGCTGTTCTCTGCGATGGTAAACATCACTTTGTGCCACCGCCCATCGTTATATGATACATCAAAGTTGTCTAGCAAAACTTTTCCTGGAGTATTTGTTGCTGAAACCTCCACCTTCACTTTACCTTCATCTAAGAAAATCTGGAGAAAAAAATAATTCACTGTATACATACACACACACACCTCAGTCCTCCATACATATATATATATTTATACTAGAATATTGGTAGCAGTCTTTTTTTGTAGACATGTTACTGAATATGACATACAGGGTGAGATCAATGATTCTAAAACAAATTTTCTCTATTTTTATTGTTTCTTCATTTAAGAAGGAAATCAGAAAATGAACTTGATGGTATATTCCAGCAGGTATCTGATGTTGAGCAATTGCTACAGCTTAAGGATACATTCAAACAAAGCTCTGTGCTAAAGTTTACTTATGAGATGGAGAATGAAGGTAAGATACCTTTCCTAGCTGTAACGGTCTCAGAAAAGAATGGTGGCTTTCACACTGCAGTCTACACTAAGGAAACCAATATAGGAATGCGCCTTAATGCTAAAAGTGAGTGCCCTGATAGATACAAGCAGAGTGTTGAGGATGACTATGTCAACTGTAATCTCACACAGCTCCAGTTGGAAGTAGATTGACAAGGAACTCAGTAGTGTACAGCAGGGCTTAGTCAATAGCAGTCCCCGTGATGCAGAGGCAAGACACTCGCTTAGCGTTTTGCAAGTGCTCTGGCTTGGGTTCGAATCCTGGCCGGGGAGGATTGACTGGGCACCAATCCTTAACTGTAGCCTCTGTTCACCCAGCAATGAATGGATACCTGGTTGTTAAACGACTCAGCGGGGTCGTATTCCAGGGAAATTAGGATTAAGGACCTGCCCGAAACACTATGCGTGCTAGTGGCTTTACAAGAATGTATAATGGATATGTTGAAGAGATCATTAAAAAGAAGAAGAGCTGCCATGTTACCTCTGACGAAACAGCCAATAATACTGTACCAGTTCCTCCTATTAAAATATTTTACAGGAACTTTTTTTCCATAGCCCACAAAATGGAAAAAAAAAAAAAAAAAGAGTTCTGAAAGATATTACTGTATGAGCTTGTTTATCCGGAGCCAGTTAAACCACTTGGGTTATCCGGCCAAAACCTACTTTGTGACCCTTATGATGTCAAATAAGGTTTGGATCTGAGTGAACTTTGTATGTTCAACTCTAGGCAAGATTAAGTTTTCTCCAGTACCGACCTAACATCAGTAGACCCTGGCAAACTTCTGAAAAAAGATTCCTGTTGGGCCAATGCGGAATGTCACCCCAGACTGACTGACTTATAGTCCTGTCCAATGGGACCAGAATGGCTCTCACATTAGGAAGCATCAATAGTCATATCACTCATGTAAAAATTTTGTCAGTTAAAATGACCATTCAGCATGCAAGCCATTAATTATTATAACAGCTTTTGACTGTTCATTATTTGAAATAAAACATCTTAGAAGAAAACTCATAACAGTCAATTCATGATATTAAATTTATATTTATGAATTCATAATTTACTTACTGTACCATGCAATTCCTAAGTAAATATAAATAGGCATAAACACATGAAAAAAGGAAGATACTGTAATAAATTGAACTTTCAAACATTGTACAATGAATAGTTTGAACAGAGAACAGTACTGAAAAAGTATATGCAGAAACAGAAAGCTTGGTTTCTGTATTATCAATTTCTTGTTAATCAATACTTTTGATATAAAATTAAGTAACATAACACACCTTGAAATACCCTACAGTTGAAAATTTATGATAAATGAGAACACCTTTATCTTCATAAGTCCGGAAATCTAGTGAAACATTGAGTGAGCGCTGATCTTCAAATGCTGGATACCGGAGATGAGCTTCCCTTCTGAGGAATGTGAGGGTCAACTCTGCTGAGTCTCCATACTGTACAGGGAAGACAAATGATGTGTAAATATTTTATTGATGCATACTAAATAAGATGAATGTATTTCAAATAGACATGAAACTGATTGCTGAATGGTAACTGAAGAGAATATTCATATCATGTTTTCCAGCAAACTGGAGAGTATTAGATAAATTCAATTTGCTTATTACTCAAGATTAAAGTATTCCATAAAACTAAGCAGTATTGTCCTGCTAATCCAAATCACCACTATTAGGGTTATACAGAGATTCAGATTACCCAGTTGTTTTTCAACACTAAAAACAATCACCCACTGAAGGAAATGAAATGCCCTTTTCTGATGGGGACCCTTAAGGGGTACCTTGGTTACTTTGAGGAGTTTTTGGGGCTTAGTGTCCCCGCGGCCCAGTCAGCGACCAGGCCTCGGGGTATAAAACCTGAAAGAAAGATGTACTCGTGTACATCTGACCTGCCTGACAGCAGCATTCGGGATTCGTAGTCATAAGGTTCCGGGTTCGATCCCTGGTGGAGGCGGAAACAAATGGGCAGTTTCTTTTACTCTGATGCCCCTGTTTACCTAGCAGTAAATAGGTATCTGGGAGTTAGAAAGTTGCTACAAGCTGCTTCCTAGGAATGTTAAAAAAAAAAAGCGGTCGCCTGGTTGAGGATCGGGCCGCAGAGACGCTAAGCCCCGAAATCATCTCAAGATAACCTCAAAATGACATCACTACTCATTATTCCCCTTCAATTTCTTGTTTGGTGTAGTTCACTACCTGTGCTTATTTTGTTCTGACAGCATCAATTGCATTCAACTTTATAATCTGCCTTGCCTCTGACTTGAAGACTATTTTGGCAAGTCTTAGATGATCCTTACCCTGTTATTCTCTCATATAATCTACATTTTTTTTACCTTTCAACTATTTCTTTTATTTCATCTTTTATTATTTTTAGTCTAAATATTTTTATATCTCACATTTCATTTCTACAATAATGATACTTTTGAAAATGGTTCCCTCCCTTTCCTTCAATTTCTTTGTTTTTACTGTATTATAATTGTGATAAGTAACTTAACATGAGAACATCTTACCTCAAAGCATCAAACTCCAGTATTAGAGAATATTGAAGATTTTAACTTAACTGTTGAAATGTGCATACCATCTTGACCCCAAAAGTACAGTTATCATATAGACATACACTTACATTCTTACATACATACACATTCATATATATTTGTCTAGACGAGTGTTTCTCAACCAGGGTTCTGCAGAACCCCAAGGTAACTAGGGGCTTCCACACGAGATTGTGATAAATACGCTAATCTAATCACATCACACAGTGAATTATATGTAAATGTATTTTTGAGTCATTTTTGTATTAAATTTTTCTCATTTAACCAGTAGTCAGAGCAAAGACAGAAATCATTTCCTATTAGCTGAGAATGAAATTAGTTGTTGTACCTGTGGGTACATCGGTTGAGAAACACTGGTCAGCCATGGTCAACTTTAGTGTTTGGCTCGGACAATTTGTGTTGATGACACTCGGCTCTGGCACTGACAAATGAGGCTGAGCTACCACACAGCCAACTTGTACAGTGCATGAAACCAGTTACAATGTAGGTATTCAGTTTACATACTTTCACTTTTCCCTTACCTTTTGCATTAAAATTAATCATTCAATAATAGAGGCAGATACAGTATGCACATAAATCCTAAGGTGCACATTAGGGGTTAAGAAGTTATAGTGCACTTATCATTCTAAGATTTTTAATACTCTGCAACATCTGAAACTTCCCTAAAGTTTCCAATCGGTCTCCCACGAATATCTGCCATCTTGAAAAGTGACTACTTTAATTTACAGTTTCCTATGCTATACACAGGTCACATTTTTAACACAGGAAGACAAAGAACAAATTATACATTTGTTGTGTGTGTGTGTGAACAGAGATATTTTTCCTATACACATTTCAAGAATTAAAAACAAAAATATAATGTACATTATATAATAAGTTATGTACATTAAAGTTAATACACTAAAAAATATATACAACTCACTGGACATGTTGATACAGTATTAATCTTCGTGTATTTTGGACGACTGTAGTAGTATGAATAGTAATCATCAGCATCTCGCATCTCTGGAATGATAGCTGTGCCGTTTATGAAGAGGTTTTCGATGCAACCCGTGAAGTTGACACGAGCCTTCATGCCAGTTTGCATGTTTGGTACACCACCAATATAAAACTGGATGGGGAGGGGGGTAAAAATAGAGATGAGTTTTCCTCAAATAAGCTAAGCTGATGCAAAATTTTACAAATAAAAAAAAAATCATATAATAAAATTAAGTAATGAAGACAAGAAAATACACTAGATTTATTTAGTAGTCTACTGATCCTCAGTTACCCATTGAAGCATTACTAGAATGGTGAGAGAGGGGGTATAAAAGGGAGAACCAGCTTCTTTTTCTAGGGATATGCTCACTGTGATCCAACTTTTCTACTCCAACACACCTTGGTACCACCTAGTGCAACAATTACAGATTATTCCAATTAGCACAGAGGATGCATTAATTACAGGGAATTTTAATTAGTACATGGGTGAAATAATTATGAAGTGTTCTGATTAATACAGGTGCAATAATTACAGGTTATTCTAATTAGTACAGAGGTGCAATAATTATTGGGTGCTCTAATTAATACAAGCGATGCAATAATAACAGGGTCCCCTTAATACTGGAGGGGCAATAATTACAGGGGTCCTTTAATTATTACATACCTGAAGGGTACATTACAGGATACTCTAATTAATGCAGGTGTAACAATTACAGGGTTTTTTAATACAGGAAATGCAATGATTACAAGGCATTGTACTCTAATTAATGCAGGTGTAACAATTACAGGGTTTTCTAATAGAAGAAATGCAATGATTACAGGGTATTGTACTCTATTCTTTCTCTGTTAGAAACATTACCATATTTTGCAGCAAAGTGGTTAAGAGGTCTAAGGTATAAGAACAGGTTAAGAAACCAAATTTAACCTTTAAGGAGAAAGCAGAAAGATTATGATCACACCATATAAGATATGAAGGGGAATAGACAAGCTGGACAAGGACAGCCTCTTTTAACCGAGAGAAAATATTGTAATATGTCATCCACAAAAGTTGGAAATGCAAATGAGTCGAAGAAATGTTAGGAAGTACATGTGATCCATATGAAGGGTGATCTACAAGAGCAATGCACTTGTCGTTGATAGATAAGCCTGGGCAAATTCATGTGAATTAATAATTCTTATACTCGCTACATTTCACCATTCTTTATTTTTATATACAGTACTATACTGTATTGTATAATCATAGATCATTTTTTATTCACCTTCCATAGTATCCAATGCCTTCTGGCAAACATTTCCACACACATTTTCCATTTTCTCCACAATTTTAAATAACTTCTGCGTTAAATTTATCAATACAGTACCTGCAGATTTCTCCTATTTGATACTTTCCTGATGAATTTACATTCATCCACATGTCAATGAAGCTTTCAACTAATGTACATAATGTACATATCAAAGTACTGCATGTAACAAAATATAAGACTAATATCTATAAATTGAGAAAATCATGCAAACTGCACTTATTATCAAGAAGAAGAATTGACAAAATACAAATAATAATAAAAAAATAAATTTTAACAAAAAGAGTTTAACACAGGACAATCCACACCTCTTGATTTAAATCTAATCTTTTGAAGTCTCCAAGAATTATGTCATCTCTGCGGACACGGTCAACCAGAAACGTCACATTCCTCTGTTCTCTTCTGATCTCCACATCATGCCAAGCATTGTCATCTAACAATGAACCCACAGACAGTGAGGTCAATAATTTTGATCCTGAAAGAGATTTCATGAAATTAATATTTATTTAAACGAGTTGTTCACAAATATTTATGAGAATATTCTTTCTTGAAATTTTTTCTTAAGTCATCTTCTAACTTTGAAATATTTTTTTTTTGTATTGCAATGTCAGCATTATAAAATAGCACATGCACAAAATAATAAAGTATAGTTACCGAGGTTGACATTAAGTACCATCCTGTTCTGCACTAGCTGCAGGGCCAAAAAATCACCCTGAGTTCCTCGACTGTACATCAACATTGCATCAGGAAATGTCGTGCGAAACCGAAAGCGGATATGGTCCCTGAGGGAGGTTATTGGAACTCTTGTGAAATCCATCACAACCATGGAATTCCCATGAAAACTTATCGATTCTGATACTGTGGAAAAAAAATTATTTGATACAAAAAAACAGAGAAAAATATCCTTACAAGAACATTCTTTATATTTTGACAGATCTATCTTTTTTTATTTAAGAATATCAGTAATGGTACTGCATCATACAAAACACTGAAAATTTTTAATAAATGCCGAGATACGTAGCACTAGTAATAATCCAAAATGTAAAGTATTAACCAGACAAAACACCACCACCTTAATACTGTACAACCTGAAATATTTATCTGACACTGATGCTTTACCCCTATATGACTGCCTACGCAGATGCAGTGTGGTGCTAGAAAAATTAACTGGGAACAACAGTTTTAATTTTCCAGGTAAAGGGTTTCTGGCATGGCACTAGACTGCTTGATGGATCTGCACTTGACACTCTAACTAGAGGGCTCTGCCTATGAGTCTACTCATTTCCCTAGAAAGCGGTCCTCATGTCGCATACCTGCCCCATCACCTAGAGGGCTCTGCCTATGAGTCTACTCATTTCCCTAGAAAGCGGTCCTCATGTCGCATACCTGCCCCATCACCTGGCTCTGAATTCGATCTGAATATATTCTGAGAAGCCTGAAGTGTTAAAGGAAACCCCCCCAATATTTTTACTATCTATATGACAGGAATTTTCCAGGAACCTAACTCTGTAGGTGGAGGATGAGGATGTGAATGAGGGTATACAATTATATCTTGGCTGAACACCAGAAACATTAGAAGTAGTTTCCTCCTATGTCAGAATACCTAACCCAGAGTCATCAGCATGTCCCTCTAACTAATCCTACCACAATATTTTCTCTGGTCATCACCCCATCTGAAGTTGTAGCCTATTAATAATGTTATTATCAGACCCTTCTATACTGCCAATCCTTTAAAAAACCATTCACAGCCTCACTACCATTTCTTTCATCTCCATCTCAGTTACAAGTTGCCCATTATATTTTAAGCTCTCTACAATGTTCTTTTTCTCACTTTTTTTAAGCCTGGTACAAGTTATATATTGTATCCCGAGGTCCAAATTTCCAAGTTTAATTTGTATTAAAAAAATATTTTACAATATATACAATATATTATTTACATTCCTTATGATCACAATTTTTAGACCTGGAATATATCCTCCTTTCCCATAAGATCTTTAAAAATTTAATACATTGGTTGCTGAGAATGCATACTTAAGTACTGTAGAACACATGTCTGGCAATAATTAAGAAAAAAATGAATATAAAACTAATTAATTCTTGTTAATAATAATAATTTAAATTTGAGCACAACTACTTTAATTACTTACCATATTTGCAACCATACACTTCCAGTCGGAGAGAGATGCGATCGCGCCATCTTGTTGGCTTGATGCGAATATATCGTGCAATAATAGGCGTGTCAAACAAGTTTGTTACAACTGTATTTCCATCATTATTACCTGGAAAAGCCTGTAGGGAAAAATTATTAGTTGTTAAAATCCTCATTTAAAATGCTTCCATAACATATTTTGTCTCTTGGCTCTTCTCCATTCCCACCTATGAACAAGAATGAAGCAATAAAATAATACAAATAAAATAATCACAATGAACATTTCTCTCCCAATAATAAAAATAATGACAAGGCAAGTCGTAACTTATTAAGATTGTCACAGCCATATACCGTACAGGCAACTAATCACAGGCCTCGGATAACTGCTCTAATTGAGTACAAGTGCATAAAATAAATTTTGTGATGGGTTGCCTGAATTTTGCGATGAGAACAAGAGCATCTAGTTCAACAAGCATGCCAAAGGAATGAATTTTGTTCCAGCAGCAGTACACAATACAAAGACAGGCTAAATTATGAGAAATAAAATTTGTCACATAATAGACTTCAACTTGAACACAAAATCAGCACAATTTTTGCATACCAAGTGGACTTAAAACACAAATTTAAATTATATTGACTCCATGTACACTGTTGGAGGAGTATAAAGAAATCCAAATATTTTAATGATTATCCTCAAGGTGCAAGAATATATATTCATGAATTTCAACAAACTTTTACAGTTCATGATTAAGACTGAGGGGGCTCTTATTATTAGAGCCCAACATATTCAGCCAAACACAAGTATAAATGCTTCAGAAGACAATTTCTTAGTATAACTTGCCATGCAACTATGCCTGTGCCATTACACAACGGCTGCAGAGAAAACATTCTGCTACTTCAGAGGCACACATGTCTAATAATAACATAAAAAATTACAATACTGTAGTCATAATAATATGTAAAAGAAAAAGGGGCTAAAGAAATGTGCAGATTAAATCTCAAATAATTCATGGGCAAAATAAAAATCTGACAACGAAAGTTTATGTCCACAAAACAGACAAAGCTTGAATAGAGGAAATTGTGGCAGGCGACTCCTGTATCCTAGGTCATCCATCCAATCGCATGACACAAACATTATAAATTATTATTTTTCCTAGCATAACCGATTAACCACTCTACTGCACGTTAGTTTAATATGACAAGTTTCCCGATCACTGGAAACTTAAAAAATATTGTATATGACATAATTTGGCCATGATGGAGCAGGGAAGTTAAGCAACTCATGGGTGATGAGTACTTGCCCAGCGAAGGTAGCCCCAGCAGCTCTGTGGCGGCAAGAGTTCCCGCAAATATAATTTTCCATAATTATTTCAATGACAATGTTTTTTTTTTTTGTCCATTTTTTGCCATATTATTATTCAATGATGCATAATTCGAGAAATGCTTATAAAAACAAATTCACTATACTCAAAAATATGATGTTCATATCTTGGTCACACACATTATATTTTTAGAATAAAACAATATTTTTGCTCTTATTACACTATATACACACACATCATACAATATATCTATCACTATACTGTACATCTATATCCTATATCTATCAACTTTTTATGCACCATAAGAAACAAAGTTTTGATGGGTGTGGTGATGAAATCCAAACACAGCATGGAGCCACATGATACAAGTAGACGACGCCCCAGCAGATGTCACCTGATGCTAGAAAATGCTTTCAATATACTACACACACACACATCACTAAGACCTTCAAATGAATTTCATCATCTTCATCATCCATTTGTTCAGCATGTCCAAACCATATTAATTCCTCTCTCCTTAGTTTTGTGATTTATCAACAATTGCACTCTACATCTTTCCAATACACTTGACATTCTCTTAGCCCTACAAGTTTGTCAGATTGTCAATTATTGCTAACTTAAATATAAATTTTCCCATTCATACCCCACCATCATTAAGCACCTTCATATAGGAGCAGGCACTACCACACATTCATCTAGTCCACTGACTGCATTTATGTTTATCTTATCTCTTCCTTTCATTATGCCAGCTAATTTCTTTCCCGACTCAATTTTCTCTAAGTTTGCTAGTACAAACTCATTTTGCCAATCACACATCTCAGATACAGTTGACCAACTCCAATAACTCATCTCATACACTATGCTTTTGTGACTTAGCTGCAGCTGAAGACATGTTCCTCTGACTCAATTTTAAATTGAATCCCAAACCTGCCACAAGGGGGGGAAACATTGCCCAGTTTAATATAAGGGCCATTTCTTTTATCATCATGTGAAGTGTTTTGAGTTGCAAACACAAAGAGACACCATTTGGAAGCAATTCCAACTTAAAAATAAAAGCAAAATAAACACAAACTTAAAATTCATAAGGGATGCCCCTACCAGGATTACTTAATAATGCTTATTTAAAAAATATTTCTGAAATGGAAAATCAAATGAAAGTAAGCAATAAGCATTCACATAAGGAAAACAAAATAAAAAATTACCACAATAATCCTAAAGAAATTGGACAGACAAAAATTTATAAAGCATTCTATTTCTTGCAGTGTTGACCATCATAAAACAAAACTATACAAAACCATATAGTTAACCTCATGAAATTTGCTGGAAAAATTAAAACGTCTCACAGTTGCATAATCGAGCAAAATCAAAAGTAGTGTACTGTACATGTACCATATATAAAAACTACAAACCTAAACAAATTGAGTAGTGATTTCAAAAAGCATTCGGAGAGTTGAGCAGAATAAATACTGGAGACACGTGAACAAACACCAACACTGAACAACCGGGTAGCATATTACTGAAGCATTTATTAGGGCAAGCTACGTGAACACCCCGCTTGCACCACTACCTTTGACACTCCGTCGGGCCCCCTGTACATCCTCCATACATCCCAATCATCAGAGTACTGAATCATGAACTCTGTCACATACTGCCTCGTATTCTGTTTGCCCTGAGTTGCTATACGAGTCACTTTCTGCCTCTCAGGCAATGCCACCTCAAGATACTGATAGTAGTTGTTCTGAGCAGCAGACCATGAAAAATCCTCTGAAAAACATTATTAAAAAAATTATATTTAAAAAAATGGGAGCAACAGCATGACTGTTACTAATGTACAGATTTTTATTGACAGCTAGTAAAATAAAAGCAAATTTTAGAAGTTATAAATGCATCAGATACATTAATATGTATATTATTGTACATATTAATACAGATACAAAATACATTAAATAGAAGACAACTGATTAGTGTTTATTTTCCTCAAGAATAACTCATCAGTCAGTTCATAATCTGCAACACACAGATGTATATTTGCTCCACACTTTTCATCTTTTTCCATCATTAAATCCATTCTAAATAGTATATTTGGGGGAAGCCCTATGGTAGCTCTCTGTAACTATCTTAATGCGACTGCTTCAATCTACCAATCACATCAATTGCATGAGTTCATACGGTCTACCAGGAAACAGAGCCAAAACCTGGCCCCATCTCACATGAGGTGAAGGAAGCACATGACAGTCCACCATTTCACCGGGAAATCATCCAGAAAGTCAGCGAAGCTTTAAAGACAACTGCTGGACTCGCAAGACTTTGAAAACCACTAAACTGTCAAATAATTCCTAAACAAATACAAAATAAAATACACAAAACAAGCTAGAACACATTGGCAGCGAATGCTGCCACCAGGATGCCCCAAGCTAGGTCTAGTGTCAGGTAACAGTTCAGTTCATCCATCGATATGTAACCTCGAGCAATGCTGTAGTGCTCCTTTGTCACATCTTCTTGCACTAGTCCCTAAACTAAGGCTTCTAAGCTAAGTACTGTACTGGCCATCCTAGGACTCGTCCTGTTTGGCCATTTTTGCTAGTGCATCATTCCATTATAGTACTACTGTATTTGCTTCATGTGCATGTTTTTTCTCCGGTATTGTTGTGTGGACGTGGCTTTTTGTGCTCTGAACTGCATGTGCCCAGTGGTTATTTTCTTGGGTGTTCATGAGCACTGCCTTTGCACTGAGTTCATTCTCTGGTGTGTTCAGGGGTTCGTCCTTTTGAGGGCGGGTAATAGGGGTGGATTGGAACCAACCAATAGTGTTCCTGAAGTCATCATGAGCTCCTCTTTTTGGTGCTTCCCTCTGTGCCCTTAATAATAATATGGAGGAATTATGCCAATCCCCACTGACTATTCTTTCCGATGCCTCATTGCTAAGGCTACAACAAAAATAGTCAGGAGACAGTCAACTTGTTAAAATCAAACCAGCTTGACTTTGGGATTTCCCAAGGCTGCAAAGTGGAAAAAGTCAGACAACTTTCTAATACTTTTGTACAGTCTGTTGGCCGAGTGGTTATAGTACTGGACACGCCAAGGGACATGGAGGCCCTGGCTGACTGGGTTTGAATCCTTCAGGGGTCAAGAGTTTTCTGAGGTATGTTGGCTTGGGGGACCATTCAAGCTTGATGCATATATGTAGTATTGTATGTATGTATGTATGTACAGTATGTATATATGTATGTTTGAATGTATGTATATTTGTATCTTTTTAGTTCGTGCATATCCCACAATGTAAAAAACCAATATAATGTCTAATACAATACTGGTAATTATGCATGTTGAAAAAAAACAAAAAAACACAGCTACATGTGATAACTGAGTCTGTCTCCAACAAATGGCAGTGCAACAATATTTACAAGATCCAGATGCCAGTTATGAAGCCTGGTTGTACATCACATGATTTATAAACTTTTTTCTAGGTACCGGAATACTAGTTTATCATTGTAGATAACTGCTATATTTTACTCATTATTTATCAACTAAATTAGCAAAAGAAATCAGAGGGTTAGCAAATGAAGTGCTGAATGAGTAGTGTATTTTCCTCTTCTAGAAAAATACAAAAAACATAAACTGCATGTATATAAATTATCAGTCACTTTTAATTAACTCTTGTTTAATTTTCCTGTAGCACTTACCTTATTTTAAGAAGAATGAGGTTTGAATGACAAGTGTCCGGCTCTAACATAAAGGATAAATTTGCATCAATAATAGCAAAACAATAAAAAAGAAAATAGTCTAATGGAAAAATTTCACAAGCACATGCTTCATATACCACTCACCCCAACACTTCCATCAAAGCCTTTAACTATGGAGAACAGGGTCCCATCTCGTCCATATTCGATGGTGTATGCTGTTACATATTCATTTGATTCTTCTCGACCCTGGGTGGCAATGGCAGTTATGTTCATGGTATTGCCAAGATCCACCTCAAGGAATTGTGAGTAGTCAGCAGTTTTTGCTGTCCATGCAGTGGGTTCTGTCAGGAAGAAGCAGGGTATGGCTCATACTCAAAGCTACAGAAAACATGCAGCAAAAAACAAAAACAAAAATGCAATTAATAATAAATTGAGCTCTCTTAAAGGAACATGCTCATGAACACACACAAAAACTTATAGAAGCTTCTACTGCATGCTGTGCATTTTTTTTTTATTAGGTTTTTGTTAGAATAACTGTGCCATATTGCAAAGCCTTGAGAGTGTTTATTATATTAGACACTTCATATACTTATTCAAAAATATATTAGCAATAACTGCTTGCTGTATGTGATGAGGTAAACGTGTTTTAATGGGTAAAAATGCTAGATCTATTATATACCTAAATAATCTGTAAACAGCTATAAGCACTGGTTGATTACTAAATTGGGAATTGAGGTGGTACCTCCTCCCCATTCCCAAGCTACACACACCTGCACCGTGACACAATCAACTTCATGAAATAGGCTTCAGCTCAGCCTCAAGATCAAAACATTAAGTTAAACCTTCACTTCTTAAATTACTTGTTTATGTATGAAGCTTACTTAAAATGCAGTAAAATTCCTTTAGTGCCACTTGCACCAGTAACTTGGACCTTGTTATAAAATATGGGTAGATCTTGGTTTGACTGGCCATCTTTGTAAAATGTCTGGCCAAACTAGCAAACATGTTTGTAGATTAGAACCTGATGACATGTCTCAAAAATATGTAGTAATATAGTACAGTATACTCAAAATACTTATTACACCCATACTAGGTAAATATAATTTTAACAAAGTTACCAATAGTTTGAAAGTAATTCTAGTAATGGTATGGGGCACATTTAATGTCACCTACTGAGCCAAGCCATATTTATGATTCCCATACATAAACACAATGTTTTCCATCCCTCCTGTGTTACTGCTTGGCAATGGTTTGGACTGCTGTTTCATGTATGACTTCATGGGCTCCTTGTACCTTAATTATACCTGGCCTGGGGCCAGACTTCACCTGTGAGAGCTTGGTCCAACAGGCTGTTTCTAGGAGCAGCCCGCAGCCCCACATACCAACTGCAGCTCAGTTATTCCGACACTTCTTGAAGAAAACTATTCGGTTTTTTCTTGAAGGTGTTCACTTTTGTTCAGGCAATATTTCTTGTATTCGTTGGGAGGATGTTGAACAACTGTGGACCTCTGATGTTCATAATGTTCCCCTGATTGTGACTATGGCACCTCTGTTCTTCACTAGTTCTATTCTGCATTTTCTTCCATATTGTGGCAGCAAGGCCACAAAAAAGCAGTGGAGCAAGGACTGTACCCTGAAGAACAGAGCTTTTCACTGTGCTTGCACTCAACTTTATTTGATTAAATGTTACTCTTTGCATTCCGTTTGACAGAAATTTGAATATCTATCATCCTACTTTGCATGTCTCACTTAGTAGACTTTCATTCCATGGTCACATTTATCAAATGCCACTGTGAAGTCCGGGCATACGACATCAGCATTATGTTTTTTCTAATTATGCCTCAGTGATTTTGTCATAGTGGTCAAGTAGCCACGAGAGGCATGATCTTTCCATTCTAAATCCATGATGACCTGGGTTGTGGAGGTCATTGGTCTTCATAAAACTGGAGCTCTGACTCCTGACCACTCTCTCAAATACTGTACAGTACTTTTATTATGCGGGAAGTTAGTGCAACTGGTCTATAATTCTTAGCCAATGCTTTTCTCCCTCCCATGTGTAGAGGAACTCTTTCTGCTGATTTAAGAGCATCTGGTATCTCCCCCGTGTCCAAGCTCTTACTCCACACTATACAAGTGCCTGTGGTACTTTTTTTTTCATTTCTTTTATAAATATAGAATTTCACGAGTCTGGACCCAGGAATGAGTGCATGGGCATGTTGTCAATTTCTCTTTCAAGATCTGCAGCATTCATGTTGATATTAGTTATATTTTCAGGGGTTTGGATATCATGCTAAAAGTGTTAGTGGGTTGAGTTGGTTTTCGAAGTTTTGGAAGACCCTATGGTATTAGTTAGTGCCTATGAACAACAGCTACAGTGCGGGCCAGTCCAGAATAAAAAAGAAATAATGTTGACAAAAATAGCCAAAAGGGTGCAGGCACTGAACACAACAGAACGATGGATGGGAGACTAACCTAAATGATCTGTCAGGAGTATCCAGTACAGTAATTGTATTTTAACTCTATTTGAGAATGAATCCTAATGTTTCAACAGTTTCTCTCCTAAATAGGTCATTCAATATGGCAAAATCAGTATTTATTTTTATTAAAGAAGCAAGAATTTTTTCTACATTTTAAAAGTGCTATCTACCATATTTATATTTTATCTTTATTTTAATTTTATCTTTACTTTTAATTAAATTACTGAAGTAATTTCATTTCAAATTTTGTTTCCACAAATTAAATTCTACCTCCACTACTCTGTGCTAAAGCACTTTTTGAACACTATATTCACCTAAATACTCTACGGCTATTTAAACTTTTAAGCCAAGTGTAGCAAATGCTATATAATGTACGTTCAGTACATTCAATGAGATTTTCAATAACAAGCATTATTAACATTGCGGGTCTGCACATGATGACTTGTAGATTATGGTGATTTACAGTATTCTAAACACACACTAAAAAGTGTTTATACAAAAGGCTTGTTGCATAATGCAATGTCACAATCAACTTTCTGAGCATGTGATTTATCACATCTTAAATCATATAACAAAGAGCACAATAGCTGGCAAATCCATGCTT